TTTAGAAATTATTTGATCAGTTTTGCTAAATTACAAAACTTGAAAGCAGAAATTTAAAATACTTGTCTTCTGTGGCTCTGGAAGAGGAAATAGCCCCTGATGAAGTCATCAGGGTTATCTGGGCGTGGACACCATGTATTTATACCAGAAAGTGTCTGTTACAAAGGGGAGTTCAAGTTCACATTTTTGTTGTCAGGTTGTTTAATGTCCACTGTGACTCAGGAGGTCTGGCAATGCTGAAACAAAACTCCTGATGATGTCATAATAATGTCATTAGGGTTAGGGTTAGACAACTATTTTATAACAGAAAGTTTGTTTTACAAATTGGGGCCGTGGAGTTTGAAAAACTCTGGAGTATATCAGGCAGAGAAGGTTTTATTAAGGGCCACTAACAAGCTGCATTATGGGAAATGTGGAACCCAGGGTTTTTTGAGCTTGACCCATACTAGGGACTAAAAGTCAGGATATCTTGGCCTCTGCTGCTTCAATTCTGGCAATGCCTTTTTTAATCTGCCTCACTTAAGTTCCCTAACTTTATGGAAGTGCAATAATAATTCACTGGACTGCCCCTTTAAATGGTTGAATGCAGGCACATAGGAATTCAGTGTCTAAATTCACTTGTTGAGGCGTTCACTTTCCTTATCCACTCACACTACATCGGCCCACAGTGAGAGAACATTGAGTCTAAAACAAACTCTGACCAGTGACACAACAAGCTGCACGGGTCAGGCTGTGGTGAGAGAGGTGAACTCATACAACGCTTAACATTTCATTAGCCGTTTCCCCCACACCCCACAAGCAGCTGAGACATTCCATAAACACTTGGCCTGCCAGCCAGCAGGACAGAGGGCCCTTTGAGTGGGACCAGGGAGGGGAGCTGAGACTGCAGGACCAGAAAGCTGAGGCTGAGCACGAGGGAGGATCACTGAGCCAGGGGAGGCCCGCAGGCACATAAACATGCCAAAGATTTTTTTTTTTTTTCCATTCAGGTTTATCTACGGAAACGTGTATGTGAGTATGTGAGTAGAGGAGCTAACATGACCATCGAGTGCGAACAGTCTTGAATAGTTTCTAAACAAATGTTTTTGTTCTGTTTTCTGATAGTAGGAACAAAAAGGCTATTCATGGCTTTTACTGCGAGAGCAGCTGGCGATGCCTGGCCTGGTGTACTGATGGCCTGCCAGCTTTTGACCACTTTACCCAGTACACTGCACAGAAGAACAGGTGTCTTACTGATACACACATATACACGAACACACACACACAGAGGCAAACTTGGCTGCCCTCGAGAGCTGCCAGCACTTCCTCTTGTAGGCCTACATTTACTCTAAGAAGGGGAGAGGCTGAATACTTTAGCTTCCTTGACCACCAAACCTCAGATGTTGACATCCAGGTACAATGATAGGCCTGTCTGGGCTTCCTTGAGGAACCTCAAATATTCATGAGTCTGCAATTAACCGGGAGGGTAGACCAGCACCGGTGTGACTCCTGCTGAGGCAGCAAGTAGTGCCAATCTCTGGACTGCAGCCAAGACATTCAGACAGCCTTCATCACCTCTTCAGACAGACCATTTCTATTAATGTCACTGCAGCCATCCCAGACAGACCTGTCTATCTACACAAACTGTGCCATATACTCACCAAGCAGGCTCAGTTAAACGCATCCTGAAAGACAATCTCCTGATTTTTGCAAAGGGATTATGATAGAACTAATGGTGACATTTATTATTTCCCCTCTGGCCGACCTCTTCCTCATTGTCCTCTTACTGTAATACATTACCATGAAACAGTCTACACGCTCAGCCCCTTCCAGAAAGCTGTGGCCACAGGCATGTCAGTGTCATGATGATAATTAATTATGGCAAAATAGACCCATCAGAGAGATGGCCTCCTTAAAAGGCCCACAGCTAATCAGCAGCTCTATTCACAGCTGGGCTTGACAATTGGCCTACATAACCAGAAACCAGGAGACAACACTTATTCTTCTATTCATAGAAAAAAGCTCCCCTGAGATGTGTCAATTTTAGACTGGCCATTTCACTAAGATTTCACGCGGCTATGCAGCTGAGTAGCAGCGGGACAAGTATGAACTTGTTTATGTCAGTTAGTAGGTGTTCCTAATGTTAAATCAGTCATTTTTCCCAGGCGGAGACATGCCACCATGCCAGACACTAAAACACTCACACAACGGCAGCAGGGATCACGTCAACTCTCTGTCTGCTGCAGCGTTCATATGTTCCATGACAGGGTGCAGAACATAAACATACACAACAAATCTTACAGTCCAGAATGCTTAATTTAGGTGTAACCATCGACTGTATTGTACAGTTTATGAAGCTTGTCTACACAAACCTCTGCTAACTGGAGCACAAAGCGTCTTTACAACACTGAGATCAGGTTAGCTTTACTGGGCTCATTTAATAGATTTGAGCGAATGCCACAATGCTTTATGATAAATACAACAAAAAACTTTCCAACTGCTCCCTTAAAGTCACTAAACCACAACAAAGAGCAGTTTATTGCAAAAACTCGCCTCAAAGCAGCTCCCTGCCCGAGGCCTAATCCAGCAACGTGCACAGTAATGTTATTACAACATCAGAAAATAAATCCAGACTTCTGGTAATCCACAAAGCAAGGTCCACATGAGGCAGCTGTGCCATTATGTCAGCAACAAGTCTCCTCTGGACAAAAGCCGTACCTCAGGCTCTGCAGCGTGGTGCTTTTAAACAGAGGGTGTCAAACAGGACAGGGTCCATTAAAAGGGGAACTCCAACAGATTTTACTCTTAAAAGGCCAGTTTACTGGTCACGGGATGTCCTACTCAGCCTGTGAATACAGCCGTGTGATGACTGTGAAACTTCAATCTTGACCACAGAAATAATAGCTTGATGAAAAAATACATTTATAACTCAGGGTGACTTTTTAGCTTTTCAAGAGCTTTCAACCACATCTCACAGTCTTCATCTCCATGACAACTTAAAGTTGAAAGCTTTGGAAAGAGCTAGTAAGTGGACCTTGAGTTCACTTTTTTGCCAATCTGTATAGACTGCTGCAGGAATGAGTCCCAAAACCTGGAAATTAGTTTTCATTGTAGTACTCCTAGTTCCCTTGTCTCAATGTTAATGGGTTTTTTGAATGGGTTTTTGGTTAGATCAAATGGCAACCTTCAGAGCTGGAAAATGAAGCCTACACAGAAGTTCAAAATACCAAAAGCCCAGGAATCTGTATCAGGACTGAAAAGGTTAGATCGCAGCATCCCTGTCAGAAACCCTGCATTACAAACTTGGGGCATGGAGCTTGAAAGACTCGGGCATTCACAAGACAATAAAGGGAATAGCAAAAACATGACATTGGTTGCATTATGGGAAATGTAGAATAGAATTCGTATGAAAACAGGTTTTCCTTCTAACGTCTTACTCTTTGTCATGAATGTATTAATTCTTTGGAGAAATAGAAACTTTCTGTGCATCTGAGTTATTTGCCTGCACAATTAATAGAAGGAGCTGAGTGTGAAACATCCTGGCAGTTTGTGAGCAGTATTGCGCGACAAATGGCAGTGAGTGATGACGCAGACCCGTGTCGATGGGATTTCAGTCATCCGAGCAGCATGCTAGCTTACACTTCATGCTGATTATATCACGGACTATCTGCTTGTTCATCACATGCTTTGTGTCAAGGCGCTTTGGACTGGATCACCTTATGTAACAACACACTATTCTGCTCATCTGCTTAATCTGACCCACAGTGGATAACACTTTTTTTTGGGCGGAAGGGGGTTAGAGGCAGACAATTTTCCAGCTCCAATCCTAATACACGCTCTGTATCCCAATCCCTCTTTGGCCTCAACCAGCAACAATATCCTCGTGTCCTTGTGTGTCGTTAGCTGTGACAAATGTTCTCGCAGAGGAACACTTGCACCCGCCTCTTCTTCTGTCCTTGGCATTACCAAATTACCCAGACCACTCTCCTTATCCCACTTAACATTGTTATATTGTTAACATGTCAATACTGGGGCTCAATGAGTGATTCTGCTATTGTGTTCACTCATAACAACAGGAAACACTAATGGCAGGCATTTTGATTGGAAGCCACATGACACACTTTAAGCCCCTCGATCCTCTTTTTTTGAGTGAGTTGTCAGGGCTTTTTTCCCCTACCCGCCTCCCGTAACAAAGAGCCTCCCCAAATTTATCACGCTAGACAAACCTCTTTAAGTTAATTACTCGGCACCAAGGACAACAACATTGATGCGTCGTGACACGAAAACACTCAGGGTGGACAGGGCCGAGCGACTGGGAAGCCTGGGGGCAGCCACTGTCTCAGTCAGAGCATCTCTGTGAGAGTGCTGCAGCACTCAGCGGGCAAAGAGCAGAAGGAGGCGAAAAAGAGAGGGCAGGCCTGCTTACAAAGGGGAAAGAAAACACTCCTGAAAGAACTGCAAAACAACTGGGAATCAGTGTATGTGAAGTCCATCTTGTCAATTCCGACCCATTTAATGGCAGTTGGACTTTTTAAAGGCTCTAATCTGCTGAAATTGCTAATAATGTTTAACTGGAATGTGTTAACACTCCCGATACACTCATAAAATTAAGGCTATGAGGAGATAAAATAAAATTCAGCTCGAGAAGATGATCATATCAAACCTGACCTCAATCATAATAGCTCAGTTCCACTCGAGTAAACCCCCTAAAACCGAAGAAAATGTCAAAAAACACATTTTTTAAATGTTTTTAAAAATAAAGTGCATAATAATCTGGGCTCCGGAGGACATTTTAAGATGGATTGAGTGTAAAAGGTCAAAATATTTGGTGCATTTTACACATCACTGACTTATTCTGGATCAAGGCCATTCAGGACAAGCTCAGGCATCTTTCAGACAGACGGCCTTTAATGTGCTTTTTCGTATCATCTCTTCCCATTAGATGACTTTTCTGTTTTTAATCCTGAAAATGAGAGGGTTCAGGAATTGTGTGTGTTATACAGTGTGTCTTGCCGACCTACCCAGATCTCCTTGAACACTGTTGTCATGAGATGTCCTGCTGGACGTGGTGGAGTCCCCATCACTGGGCCAGATCTGACCTGTTTTACGGACCCCGATGATGGAAGCCTCGGACACCATCACCTGCTGCTTCAGGCGTTTCTGAGATAGGGGTGTGGGTGGGCTGCTGCTGTCAAAGGACTGCTGGGAGTGCTGGGAGGGTGAGCGGCTTTTCTCCCTGTACATCTGATAGGTGGTGGGACTGGGAGACACGTGGCTGGACTGGCCTGAGGAGAAGTCCTCCTCACTGGATGTCAAGTTCTCGTTGGAGCTGCAGTCTGGTGTGTAGCCTCCTCCTACGTCCTCAAAGTTACCAGGGGAGTAGGAGCGCCTCGGCCAGGTGAGGTGTGCATCCTCCTCTATGCTGTGGTCCCTAATGTGGATTACCCGAGTGTCCCCGTCAGCCATCATTCCCCCAACATACACACTGGTGTAAGGCTGGCACTCTGCTGGCTGCCGCTCAAACTTCCCCCCAGTGGAACGGATCACGCTGTCTTTCAGGATGTGCGGGCTGACCTCGGCGTCATCATATGACCCGTTGTAACTGCAGTTTCCCTCGGTGGACCTGCCTCTCTGAACAGCCTTGCTAATGTCCCCTGTGGCAGCTGACAGGTTCCCAGGGACAGAGTGCAGGGACCTCTTGCGCTCCATCTGCATGGCCTGACTGCCCAAGGTGCTGATCTTGTCTGAGACCTCTCTGTCGTTGACTCTGACCAGCCCTCGCTCGTGATGGTACTCCATGTTCACATAGAAAGGTTTCTCCTGGCCACCCATAACTGACAACCCTCTGCCATCTCCAGCTGTGTGAGAGTTGGCCCTCCTGATGCGCTCAAAGTTGGACCTCAGCGCAGCCACCGAGCCTGTGCCCAGTGGGAAATCAGGAATCTCCGAGTCCTGGCGGACAGGTGACACTCCACCCTTCTGTTTGGCCGGGGAGGCACCATCCACCTCTCCTTCTGGATGTGGTTTACACCTGGCTGTCTTGCCAGGCCCTCTTTGCTGTTGCTCCTCCACTGGTGCCTCATCTGACCTCTGGCTGTCTGGGCCACTGGGCAGGTCTCCATCATTCATCTGGGGAGGGCTCTTAAATCCCCATCGCTGCCCATCATAAGACTTCTTCTCTTTTGCAAGCAGAGTCTGCAGGTAGATCATCCGGAAGCGCTCCTTGTTAACTTCCTTCTCCAGGTGCCTGATAGATGCCTTGCATTTGTCCAGCTCTTGCTCTATGTTCCCCAGTGAACTCAGCTCCATGCAAGGGGGATCAGACTCAGGGAACTGGGCTCTCCATGCTGCCACAAACCCCACCGGTTCAACCATTGTTATTACTCTGGCATAAACTATTCAATCAACTAACAACACAAACACATAGATTTCTATAGCATGAACTGAACTTGACTGTTCACAACTCAAAGCTTCCATAGTGCTACAGTAGGCTACAGATAGTAAAAGTGTTCTCCAGAGTAAGGAAGGATCCACTTCACAGGAAAGAAAACCTGTTTAGTTTACAGTCTTGACTCACAAACACAAGAAGAACATCCAACAAAGGCTGATCCAATCTCTTCACTCCTTTTCACACAGTCCAAGAAATGTTAGTTAATCCTCATTGTCGTACTTGATCCCTTCTTGGACTCGTCTTTCCTCTAGAGATCCTCTGTCTTCCTCTGTGTTTGGTGGCTGACTGACTCGCAGCTCACTGATGTTGTGGCTCTTCGTCAGCGCAGCAGAAAGAGGAGGGGCTACATGGATGTGATTTAAGCGTTCACTCCCAATGGGCTTCATAAGAAACGATGATTTGTCAAAATGCTGTTTCTAGTCGAAAACGGAGTTTCAAGGTAAAGCTCATTACTACAGGAGGAAATTCACCAGAACGGATGTTCCCGAAGAAATGGTGACAGACGCTATGACAGCTATAAAACATAACGTTATGGTCTAATAACCGAGATAAAGTAGCATTTTAAAGGCAAAAATTGTCCCACGACGTGATGAACACGAGGCTTGTCACAGCTCAGGTGGATGAAGACACACGCCGTCCCGACTTCCAGAAAACTATCCTTTGTTGTTAGCTTAAACTCAGCCTTGATTTTTTTACCCCCAATAAGAAAACAGCAGGCTTAATATTCATCCCCTGTCCAACCTTAGCTCTAGAGATGTCCCTCTCCGACACAACGCAGTTGTTTTGCTCTTAAGACTGTAGTTAATCCTACCAAAGTTCATACTGTTGTAACCTGAGGCCATGCCCTGTGAAAATATCGCCATCTGACGGTTCAAAAGTTCACACTGACAGAGAGGTGCGTTCAAGTACAACGTGATGCTTTTTCTTTTGAGAAAGTTGAGCTGTTATAGGACTGTTCGCTACTTGTAAGGGGAGTAGGAGTTGTGCAAAAAGAGGGAGGAATGTCAAATATTTTTTAAGCACTGGCGAGGGACTTGTTTTTTTTTCGTTTAGGGGAGGGCCATACAAATGTATTTACCAGTGATTTAAGAAAGATTAAGAAACTAAGAAACCATGCATTTGCCCAAAGTACACCATTTATCCTAGCCTGAAAGTGTAAAAACAGAAACTATCATTAAATTTTTAAACTTCCGATGGTCCATGGACACATCATGTATGAAATTTGAGCTTGAAATAGTGATATGTCATCAGAGTCACTTAATTCTATGTCTCAGTTAAAATTTGGCCAAAATAAAACCATTGCACTAATTAACCAGCATGCACAATTAGAGTGAAAAACCAAGGCTTTCTCTCAACTCTAGGGTTTCATCTTGAACTTCTTACTTTAAAACATCAAAGAGTAAGTTTTTAAAATCAAATCACTATTTTATGGTAGAGGGAGGGTCATGCATTTTTCGTCCAGTCACTTATTTGTAGCTTTGGGGAGGGTAGAAAAACAACCCAAAGCCACAACCCAGCCATTCCCCATCCCTCTGGCAAGTAAAGAACAGTCCCTAAATGCAGCATTTCCAGATTTACTATCAAGACAGGGTTTTTTTTAATCGCATTACATTCAAATTCAAGAATACAAACTTGTCCACAAAGCACATAGGTCGGATATTTCACTGACGTGTGTACTCTTTTAAAGCTAAAAGCAACTTGCGCTCATTTAGCGCAACAAAACTCTCTTAAATAACACTGTGAAAGCTACTTCCGGTTAGCAACCAATCCATGATACCTTCATGGTTTCTATGGGGCTGTTGACAACAACCGCTGCCTCTCTGCCCGATAACTAGCAAGTTGAAGATTTAACAAGGCGAGCAATTGACTGTTGCAAAGTTGTCTTTATTGTGTGTAAATAGTTGTTCGCCACCGTCAGCACAAAGTCGGTTGGACTGATTTTTAAAGGTTTCTTGCAGTTTCGGCTTGTTAGTCGACGTCAGACAGCAAACGTTCGTTAGCTAACCATTAACTTAGCCACCTGCTAATCCAGGGAAGAAGACGTTAATTTACTCCAAGCAAGTTTCGAATTGTTCAAGATGAGTGAACAGCTGAAATTCATCGTGGAACAGCTAAATAAGGACCCATTCAAGAAAAACTTTAACCTCATCACGTTTGACTCCCTCGAGCCGATGCAGCTGCTGCAGAATTTAAATGATGTCCTGGCTGAAATAGACCCAAAGGTGGGACATTAGTTTCAACGACTGCCCACACGTTAGTTAGTGCAGTTTGTGTCAGTGCAAACGGTGTAAAATGTTTTATAATATCAGCCTGTATGTGCCTGATTAAATCTGAACTAACGTTACGTAAAACGCTTTCTTTCTGCTACTCTTGTCTTTAGCAAGCTATAGATATCCGTGAAGAAACGCCTGAACACACCATAAAGAGAATGTGTGCTCTGCTGGGGATGCTGAAATACAAACCTCCAGGCAACCTCTCTGATGTGTAAGTTATTACATTCAATGATAATTTTAATAACCACACACCATGTAGTGAAGCAATTTTTAATGTTTACGTCTAGGCAGACTTTGAACATATCCACTCCTTCTCTCATACAGGAGCAGCTTTAGACAAGGTTTGGTGACTGCCAGCAAGCCTGTGGTCCACCCTATCCTCCACTGGCTGCTACAGAGGGTCCCTGAACTGAAGAAAAGGGCTTATCTGGCTCGATTTCTAGTCAAACTGGAGGTGCCTGCAGAGTTTCTGCAGGATGATCTTATCAATGAAACCTTTCAAAAGGTTGTCAATATATTACAGATTGACATTTTGTTTCCTAGTTTTTGAATTCGCCATTAACCTAAAAGGCAAAAGACAAATGTTAGTGTTGTGTGTTCACAGTATGAAGAACTGGTGGAAGATTTCAAGACAAATCACAAGGATTGTGAGCTGCTGAGGACTTCAGGCTTCTCCACAGCAGAAATCCGAAGGGTGAAAAACACTCAATAACTCCTCCCAATTACTGATTGTTCTAAGTTCTTGATGCTGAGCTTTGCTCAGTACAAAATAGTGACATTAAAGGAATACTTCACCTCCCCAAATGATCATTTACATATCAGTTACTCGCTCATTTTTTTCAGTTTAACTGTGTGAATGATGTTGTAATTCACTTTCTGAAGCTCAGTTGATATGATGCCCTAAAGCTATCCGTCTTTTTTCCAATAACAGGATATTAGTGCGATGGAGGAAGAGAAAGACCAATTAATCAAACGTGTGGAGAGGCTGAAGAGGAGGGTAAGGCAGACTGCTCCAAGAGGCCCCTTTGCTATTCTAATGCTTGACAGGCTTCAGGATTCACTGAGGAATGAAAGCATGACCTCAGACATATTATCAGCTTCTTTAATAGAGCTGATAGGAATCTGACGTGCATTGAGGCTGTCTTAACAAGGCTGTGAAGTAACAAGGTGTTGATTTAATGGGTCTTATTTGTAGGCCCTGCCACTGCCAAAAGGTGAAACCTGACTCTGTTAGAGGTGCTTGGTTATTTCTGCTGACCACGTGATACAATAGCCTGCAAGTGGAAATTGTCACAATAACTTGTTTATCCACTAGGTGGAGTCAGTGTCCAACCATCAACGGATGCTAGAACAGGCCAGACAGCTGCGAGTGGAGAAGGAGAGAGAGGAGTCACTCACTCATCAGAAGCAAGAACAGAAGAACCAAGTAAATGCTTGTGATTAATTGTGATTTTTTTTTTTTTTTTTTTTTTACATTTGCTCACCTTAGTATAATTTACTAAGAAATCATAGATCAGTTCAACTATGTGCTGTCTGCTGTGCTTTGGAGGACTGAAGAGAGACGTTAACATGTAGTATCTCAAGTGTTTTTTACTCAGTTTATAGGCTAAACATAATGCCCATAGCCTTGACTGAATATCTGTGTTCTGTGTTTTAGTTAGACAAAACCTGACATATGAGGATATCACCTTGGTTGCAATTTTATTGACTGTAATAAACGATTAATGGGTTACATGAAAAAATAACTGCCAGATTAATCAGTAATGAATATAATCTGTTGCAAAGTTGCTGCCCTATTTGATACCAGGGTCTTTGCAGGTCCTTAAAAAGTCTTTAAATTTCTTAAATTCAATTTTATAAATATTAGGCCTTAAAGGAACAGTGTATAATATTTAGGGCATTAGGGGATTTAGAGGCATTTAGTGGTGAGGACTGCAGATTGCAACAAGCTGGAACTTCTCCCAGTTAGAATTCCTCCAGTGTTCATTGTTCATGAGGTTTTTACTGGGAGCCAAACTATCCTCAGTGGTCTCTTCCTCTCCAAAGCAAAAAGGCTCAGTGATTAAAACCAATAAAAACACTGAATAAAGCAGTTTCACGTTACAAATTGGTGTTTCTCTTATGGTGTTCGGTGCGTCACAGATGGGCCACCAGTGCAGCACCTGCTAATGGGTGCGCACCTGTTTTCTCTGAGAACTTAATTTGTGCTCACCATTTTTCTGATCCAAACGTTCAGGAGGTTTTTACCGGGAGCAGAATTACTCAGAGGTCTCTTCATCTCCAAAACAAATGGATCAAGTTATTTAAACCAGTAAAAACAGAGTTATTATCTGTCAAAAAAATCTTCCATTTGTCTTAAATGTGGTTAAAAATTAATTTGCAACCTCCTGCTTATTAATACGTAACTTTTGTTGTCTGAAAATTACAAAAAAAACAGCAATCATCAATTTTCAAGAGATTATGAAGTTGCATGGGCAGAACCAGCTTGTATGAACAGACAGCTTTCAAGTACTTTTATTGAGACATGTTAAATAGAGCTGAGACAGTCAGTTGATTACTTAGCTGAAGACTAATCAGCAACAAATTTGATAATCATTGAAGTAATTTCTTGAACCAAAATGCCAAAAAATGCATCTTCGTGCATCATCTTCGTGCATCAGCTTCTACGTCGACTTCTGTGATTGTAAATTGAATATCTTAAGGACAAAACAAGCAATACTTGCTATTTTTTTGACATTTTATGAACCAAACAATGAAAAATATAAAATAGGAAAATAATCAGTAACCTCCTCACTAGCTGAAATAGTCATTAGTTGCAGCCCTAATGTTGAAGAAACTAATTATCAATGGGGCTGAATGTTATTGCTCCCAAATTACCTGTATCAGTAATGATTTTGTGTGTTCAGCTGTTCCAGGCAGAGCAGAGACTGCAGAGATCGCAGCAGCAGTTGAAGGATTTGCGACAGGCAGCAGCAGATGCCAATCCAGAGAGTGAGTACCCACATCCTGCTGTTGCCTCTGCAGGACACAGCTGGATGGAAGGTTCAAGGACACAGCAGAGCGTTAGGAGGTCTCTCAGCTAATAGGCTTTCATTTGTAGAGACCCTCTAATTATACTGATCTTTGAAGTACTATAATAGAGCTTATCTAATGTCGAAATTGTCTCCTTTTGTTCTCATCTAGCATTGGGCTCTTCAGCCAGAGGAGAGATTTACACATTTACAGTTTCTAAAATGACCTAGGCAATGTAGACAAGGGTGGAGCTGCACAATTAAAGTTACTTATTACTATTACTGAACAGTATGTGCATGCTCAGAGAGGTCCTGTGGGTGCTAACTGAGGTGCTGTTGTTCTGTATAATAAATTGCTAGTGGTGTGATTTGTCATATGCTTGGTGGGTTTGCATGTATAAAAGATATTCTGCTTTTCTTAAGTAATCACAGCTGCGGAAAGCCTGATAGGGTTTCAAACACGTTGAGCTCAAAGTGCTTAATTAAAAGCTGCGTCTCTTTCAGGCTTAATGAAGAGGCTTGAAGAGGAGATCAAGATCAACTCCTACATGGTCTCTGAGAAACTCCCTAAAGAGCTGGAGGGTATGAGGCGCACAGTGCAGTATCTGCAGAAAATAGCGGCAGAGCCTGCCATGGGCCAGGCTGATCTACAGGAGCTGGAGGACAAGGTCAGGACCAGAATGTGGTGTTGAGTTTGTATACTTCCAAACATTGCAAAATTATCATGTGTTAAGTTTTCTGTAATGTTACTTTCACAGATTAAAGAAGTTGATTCTCAGATAAATCATCTGATTGAGAAGAGGATGATGAGAAATGACCCCATGGATGACAAACTGACCCTATACAGACAACAGGTGATGTCTTTCATCTAATTGTCAATTTTATCCTGAGTGAATTGGGCCCTGTGAAAGCTGACCTTGTTTGTGCACAAAAGTTATCCTAAGTTTTGGGTTAAAATTTGTAGGCACTATTTATTAGTTTATTATCACCTGAAATTACAGTAGAATTGTTGCTGTCATTACCTTAGAATGACTTGTTTATATCTACGTATAGAGTCAGTTGTCATGTTCTACAGTAGCCAAGAACAGACAGCTCAAACACTAGCTCTAGATAGGGCCATTCCTGTTCCTGCATTTTTGTGTTGGCCGTCATAGTTCTCCTACACACTTGGCACATGGGAGAAGTTTCAGTTCTGCAATCTCACCGCTAGATGCCACTAGATCTTACACGCTTGACCTTTAATAGCTTTTTTATGTAATGCATATCTATTCTTTTTTACAGTGAAAAAATGAAAAGTTAAATGGTGTTTAACCCCAATTTTATCCTCTGAATTACCACTATTATATCCACTATTATTTCATCGCTTTACTGGAGTGTAGATTTAAATATTGCATCTAGACATGTTTTAACGAAAAGAAAAATATTCTAGTTAGAATAACAATTTGTGTATGATGTTTGTTTGTTTTTTAATTTTGATTTAACCAAGAAGTTCAATTATCTAAAAAAAAAGTAAATAACCTCTTGTACTCTACTGTAGGAATATGCAAATATTTTAAATCGAAAGAGTTTAACTGCTGGACACAAGATTTCTCTGACTTTACTGTAAAGTCCAATCTCAGTGATTGTGCACTGATTGGCTTCCGAACTTGTTGTGATGTCACAACTCTTGGTCGTACATACACACATACACAGCTTTAGTTACTTGTTACTTTTTAGAATAAAATTTACACATCGGCATCCAGCAAAAACCATGTATCTCAATATTTTGTGATTTAGAATATTTATTATTCTGTGTTCCTTGACAGGTTTACAGATCCTCCTACTTGTTAAAGTGACAGTTCACACCAAAATCAATAATACATATTTTTCCTCTTACCTGTAGCACTATTTATCAGTCTAGATTGTTTTGGTGTGAGTTGTCAAATGTCAGAGATATCAGCCATAGAGATGTCTGCCTTCTCTCCAGTATAATGGAACTAGATGGTACTCATCTTGTGGAACTCAAAGGGCCAAAATTTTCAGAAATTATGACCCAGTTACTCAAGATAATCCTCAGACCTTGTTATAAGCAGTTTCATGTAGGAACTACTTTATTTCTACCAAACTACACTTGCTAACTGTATCATTGTGCAGAAGGAAGTGTGCGTCTACTCATGGACGAGAGGCTTGTGCCCGTGACAGCGTGAGAGGCAAACATTAATGGTGTCCTTCTGAGCTTAGCTGAAATGTTAGCTCACTCAGTGATGCTAGGTGAGCTAGTAGCAGATGCATGCTTCCCTCTGCACGATGATACATTTGGTGGGTGTAGTTCAGTAGAAAGAAAATAGTTCCTACATGAAACTGCTCACATCAAGGTCTGCTGATTGTCTCAAGCAACTAGGTCATAATTTGAAAGAGACATTGCTGTTGAGTTTTTCAAAAAAGAAATGGCACTTTGAGCACCACAAGCTGAGTGCCATCTAGTTCCATTATATTGGGGAGAAGGCAGACATCTCTATAGTCGATATCTTCAATATTTGGCAACTCACATCAAAACATTCTAGACTGATAAATAGCACTACAGATAAGAGGAAAAGTGACTTTCCCTTTAAGGTGAGCGCAGAGAAACTTTCCCACTTCAGCAGATGAATGTGAAAACAGCTTCTAGTGTCAAACTCTGAACAGTGAATCGTACACATCAAAGTGAAATAACAATTAGCAAAACACACTTTTGAGTGTAAAAGGCTTTTTAAGATCTTGTTCTTATGCAAAGCTTTCTTACGAGCTGATATTTATTGCCCGTTTACGGGTTAACAGTCACTTAGCAGAGACTCGTGTCATATTTATATATCTAATATAGTGTGACTCTTGCAGGCCTCCATCATCTTTCGAAGGAAGGAGTCGAAGGCCGAGGAGCTCCAGGAAGCGAGGGAGGAGCTGGCCGCAGCAGAGAGGGAGCTGAGGCTGAGGTCCAGCCAGGCACAATCCTCAGATGGGGGAGAGGTCATCCGTGGTGATGAGGTACACTGTTGGAAGTGCTTCTTACTGTCACAAAGTAATGCAATCACTAAATAAAGGCCATCTCTGAATTCCTTTAAAGCTGTGTTAACTCTATTAGCTGGACAGACAGCAGCCAAGAAAAGAAACATTTTGTGCACAATTCTCTTCCTTGCTTTAAAGATCATTTCTGATAGCACATACTCTAGCTTTATCTAAGTGAGTACTAGTGGATTTGCAAACCGCAGAAAATGCAAGATTCTATTTCTGCTCTTCTCCAAACATAGACGGGCTCACTGTCTAATGTTACTTATCCCTTTTCCTTGCTCTCCCCCTCATTCCCATGCAGAGCCATAAATAGAACACAACAGAGAATATCCAGAACAAGGAACTGTACTGTACAAACTGCATGAAAGATGGCCTTTTCCCTAATCTTTAGTGCCATCAATCTCCTAATTTAAGTAAGCTGGACACATTAAACAACCTTGGGGCATGAAACATTTGTCTTTATTTATATCCCATGACGAGGATGTACTCTCCCCCTTTCAGAGACATGGCATGTTCTCCTCTGAGCTGTCACTGTGATGAACAGAACTGAACTATTGACAGAGAGAAAAAAAGTGTAATATTGTCGCACTTTAGTGAGAGAGCCTTGAGCAATCACTTCTTCTGCCCATGCATACATTAAGCTTGCAGTTAAAGGGTCGACTAAAAACAGCTCTGTATTAGCAGAGGGCTGCTGATGGATGGGGGTTGTGCTGTGACCGTTTACACTGTGTGGATGAGAATTTTTATAGCCGGGTGTTTGACGCACATTGATATCCATGAGGTGAGAGCTGGCATCTCTGCTGAGGCAAAACAGTTACAGCATGTCTGAAATTGCACCAGCTTTCTCCCTGCGCAACCCCCCCCCCCCCCCCCCTTTCACCCTGTGTCCTGTGGAGCTGCTGTCAATCCTAAGGGATGGTGCATTTTGTTCCTGGAGTGTTGTTACAATGTTAACCCTGACATCTGACCTGCCTGTGTGGGGTAAAAAAAAAAGGGAATTTCTCTCCAGGGAATCTCTATCGTAAACATCTAAGATGCTAAATGTAGTATTTTAGCATAAATATATTACCGTCACAATACTTTGAGACATCAGGATGATTACATATAGGAGTATGTCACTGCTTAAAAGATAGTCTTTTTGTAAAACTGTGCTGTTTATGCAGTGGAAAGATGTATATATGCATGTGAGTTTGGGTGCGTTCATAATCACACACTTTTTCTTTTTACTTTGAGTAGGTACCGCAGCTGCCCATAAAAAGTGCATACTGTTGCATGCAGCATGCACACAATTGGGACTTTCTGTTAACATTGCACCTTAAACCTTGACCGTCTCTCTCATATATCCATTGGAGTTAAAAAAGAAAAAAATGCCAGAGATGTAGACTGACCTCTGCTGTTGTTATTTTGTGATGTATGTACTTTGACTTTTAAGTTACAACGGGATACATTGTAGATTCTAATATAGTATATTACCACAGTGAAATTACACATGCATTTCTCTTTGTTATTCTCAAAGTAGTGCCCTGTGGTTGTCTTTATGATTATTTTGTTCATCGAAACAGCAAATATTCTTATTATTACTATTTAGCTGCGCATCAGTGGCCTGAATGCCCTGTCATCCATCTTTGCAACTTGTGACAGCTGTCAATCACCTGTCAATCACCTGTTAAGCCATCATCTGTTTGCGGCTCAGTCGATGTGACGTATCTTCCGGCTTGCATACTGCAAAATACAACTGGGTGTAGTAGAACATTGTGGTATTTTTGGCATACTGTGTCTCGGGACACACTGAATCTTTTTCTGGCATACTAAATAGTATAGTAGTGTGGGCAGTGGAGTACAAGCTTCTTCACTTTGACACAGGAAACAAGATGACGGTAAAAAACGATCTCAGTTACAGTGATACAGTAAGCCAGAATATGTTTCTGAAAACAACTGAGGTGAGAAATAGGCAATGCAGTGACAAAATCTTTCATATTTGATCAGATTCGATTTGCTCATATTTGATCAGCACTACTAAGTTTTACCATTTTATCTGATTTTTTTTCCTGCCTCTGTTTACCAAATGTTGCCTACTTCCTGTTCACAACCTTGAATTACAGCCAAACAGTGCACTAAAACATGTTTCTGAAAAAATTTAAGATGAAAAATAGGTAGCACAGTAACAGACTCTTGGTTTGTATTTCACCAGCACTGCTAACTTTTATCATTTGATCTCTGTTGGGTTTTTTTTTTCAGCCTCTGTATTTTCAATAAAAGAAAAAGTCTGTGAATTCAAGTAACCCTACTACCATACTATTTAGTATGCCAGAAAAAGATTTAGTACATCCTAATACATAGTGGCGTCAAATGCAGTATGCCAAAAATACCAGAATGTTCTACTACATCCGCTCGTATTTTGCAGTATGTAAAATGGCTATTCTGACCACAATCCTCTGCGCAGCGGCCAATACATCACATCGACCGAGCCACAAACAGATGACAGCTTGACAGCTCATTGTGATGGCTGTCAGAAGTTGTAATGATGGATGACAGTTTATCCAAGTAACTGATGAGCAGTCAAATCGTAATAATAGGAATATTAATTGTTTAAATGAACAAAATAATGGTAATATTACCAACAACAAAAGGACATAACTATGAAAATGACAGAGAAATGCATATATAATTTTGCTGTTGCGAATATAAGAATATTTTAGAATCCACAGTGTATGTAGTTCTAACTTAGGTTAAACTACATACATCACAAAGTAAGAATCTGTGTGCATACTGCATGCAACAGTACATACTTTTTAAGGGCAGCTGCAGTACCTGCTAAAAGTAAAAAGAAAAAGTATGCGATTAAGAACGCACCCAGTATGGTGCCCACTGAGTGTTCACAAACTCTCATATTACAGTGCACTAAAATATATTTCTGGAAACATCTGTAGTGAGAATTAGTCAAAGATTCAGTAAAAGGGGGCGTCGGTGGCTTAGTGGTAGAGCAGGCGCCCCATGTACATGGCTGTTGCCGCAGCGGCCCAGGTTCGAATCCAGCCTGTGGCCCTTTGCTGCAAAAAAGAAAAAAGATTCAGTTAAAGAATCTTGGTTTATATTTGATTAGCGCTGCCTAGTTTTACGGTTTGATCTGAGTTTGGAGAGAAATGGGGGCAGGTCTTTCTCTTAATCCGTTTCTATACTCTTTGTATCCATGGTGGTGGGTGTAGGAAAATGTGGAAGTGCAATCTGTAGATCGAGCAACAGCCCTAGAGCCAGAGATGAGCAGGTCACTAGGTACTGGGAAGAAGGAGGGAAGTTTACCACAGTTCATTTACACATACTACCCACATTGTTAGAAAGTTGGTTGAAAATCTGCAAAGACTCGCTTTAAAACTAACAAGCCAACAGAATACGACAACCTTTTCTGGCCTCTACAATGCATTTTATGCTTTCTACAAATTGATCAGATTTTGTAAGAAATGTTTTCGGATATTACACAGCACAAAACTGAAAGAGGGTGATGATTTTTGCAGCAGAAACAACACTAATATTTTCACTTATTCTGGCAAGTGATAGAAGGAGTGAAATATCAGTGGGAAAATGACTTGTAGCATGTTTATTCTTTTTAGGAAGAGAAGAGAAAGCAGTCCTCTGAGCAATGAAGTGGAGAAGCAAAACCTTGTTTGTGACAGAAAAAAATGTTAAAATGTACCAGTTTTCTTTAAAGTAATAACATTTAGAGCTGCAATGATCAGTCAAATGGTTGTCAACAATTAAATTTATATCCATCTAATCCCATAATCAATTAATGGAGTAAGAAAAAAACTCTGTAACTCCAGTTTCTTGAATGGAAATATTTTCTGTTTTTTATTTTTGCTCCTCTATGACAGTAAGCTAAGTATCTGTGGGTTGTGGACTAAATGTGACATTTGAGGACATCATCTTGGGCTTTGGGAAACACAGATTGACTTCATTTTTTTACCATTTTCTGACATTTCATAGGCCAAACAATTGTTCAGTTAATCCAGAAAATTGACTGAATTCTGTCAGAAACTGACAGATTAACCATCAATGAGAATAACCATTAGTTCCAGTCCCACTGGCAATACCACTGGTCTGAGACAGAAGCTCACATGTATTTCAGCTACTGTCAAATTCTAAATCAATTATAATAATATATTACAATTAATTTGAGACAGACTGAAATTCAGTCTGACTGAAATGATGAGAGAGAGCTGTTTGTCGAGACAAAGAGGGCCCTTGAGACTATACATGAATGAAGTTAATGGAAAATGTTTTGTCAAACACAGCTTATCAGACTCCTTCGTAGTTTCGGGCCATTGGCCACGGTGGAGATGATCACTTTATCAGAGGTATTTTCCATTCTGCTGGTTATGTGTCATCACATGCCACCCACCAACTGCAGGGTCTCTCTGAGAGGGATGACTGCATCTGCTCGTCATTGGTTGGCCAGTAACATGAAACCACTTCGTCAACCAGCCTCAATGCACTGGTTAAATTTAGTCTCCCTGTCAAGACACCATCACCGATCTGAGTAACATGCTTGCTTTTTCTTGAAATAATGCCGTGGTGTGGCTGCGGTTAATTTTTTGAGGGGATACTCTGCTGCTATACAGTATGTTCTACACATAGTTATTTGGAGTATCTGCATGCACCATTCATGTTTTTGTTGACTTGTATGTGTAAAAGTGTGTCATGGTGTGAATGCACTGTATGTCTGAAAGTGGTGGTGTTGTGACGGTACTGTCGGGCAGTTTAACTGCAGTTGTTTTGGGGCTGCACTGTCGGGAACACTATGCAGTATTATTCTGCTGTGCTAATTCCTCTCTCAGCCATGTCTGCCCTTGATGTCCCAAAATACACAAAGAATAAATGTACACACATGCATAACCCCCCACACTCACGCACACACCAAGCTTCTCAGGATCCCCAAAGGACATGTAGCACATTCTGTGATTTCTGGGGCTGTTCTCCCGTGTCTGTGTTCATTTATAGCTGCTCTTCATTGTGGCAGAGTTTCATTGTGTCCCGACAGACAGTCAGGCTGGGGAGTGACTGAACATCCACTTAAAGCAGTTATTCTGCCAGATGAAGCTGTTTGCTGTACATAGCTGGCTGTGAATCTGAAAGGATCGAGTGACCGTTTCAGGTCATGGCATGGCCCCCAGTCACTGCCGTTCTCTAATCCCTTCTCTCCCCTGGCTCAACCCATTGTCTTCTCCTATGGCCATTCATAGTATCTCAGCTGTACTGGACATGGACATGTCATCAAATAGAAGCTGTATTTATGCCTCTTTCATTTACATTTTCTTGCTTGTAGCACGCGCATGAACATTGTTTTATGACTAATCGTTCACTGAACAAAACATGTATAATATATGGCCATTTTAAAGCTGCTATATTCAGTATTTTTAGATTAATGGATCAAATGACGACATGTATGTAAAAGGGGTCACTTGCACCACTGAACCAATAGATAATTATCAACTGACTTTATTTTCCCTCAACTCTACAGAGCTTGTTTTGGATTTATATATTTCAACTTTACTGATCTGTTTCAGTGTCACCACTCTCTTTATCATTATTTCCAGATGCAGCATGCAGGTGTTTTAAAAAAAAAAAACAAAAAAAACTAGCAGCTAGCTGGTGAACATAGCAAAACATTTAGCAGCTTAAGAGCCAGGTGTTTCCTCAGGAGTTGGTGAAGACCAAACCAGAGCCAATAGGAGAGGGAAACTAGAACATACCTATGTCAGGTGGCCAGACACATGACTCCAATTGAATGCTAATGTTGCTTCGTAACTGCTGAATGTTTGAATAATTAATAACAGTTTGCCATACGTACTCAGAAGATGATGATATGTCAACGTTGTGTTTACAGCTTGTTCCTGCTTAAAGTCTTAAAGTCCCTTAAAGTCAGTTAATGCAGGTTTAAAGCTGCAGTTAGTAACACTATCAAAAGTGCTGATCAAATATGAATCAAGATTCTATTACTGCATTGCCTCTTTTTCACCTCAAATGTTTTCAGAAACATATTTTAGTGTACTGTTTAGCTGTAAAATGAGAGAGTTTGCTCCAGCTTGTGGGTGGTGTTTTGTTTCTGTCCAACTGTTTATAACATGGTGACCGTGGCCATGTTCTTATTTTACAGCTAAACAGTACACTAAAATATGTTTCTGAAAAGATTTGAGGTGACAAATAGGCAATGCAGTAATAGAATCTTGATTCATATTAGATCAGTCCTGCCTAGTCTGACAGATTGACAGCAGTTCACAAGCAGTGATTCACATGACTGACAGCTGCGTTAGAGACTCTTCGACTCTGATTGGTTGTTTTCATTCACATGCGGTAAGGCCAGTATTAGCACTAGCAGGCAATAGAGTAGGTGAGGATTTTTTTTTTTTTTTTTTTTTTTACCTATTATGTTTTATTTAGTGCCATGTGAATATGTTGTTAGTTTCAGCAAGTATGTCAAAAAGTTGTTTTTTTATTGAAGTTACCAAGTGTAGCTTTAAAGACCTTCAAAGTCAGTATAGAAAAGAGCCATACAATTCAATTTGAAAGCATTGTTTAGTATTCATTCCCTTAAAACTAATACTAAGTGTTCTTTTAATTTGAAGGGAATGTTGAATTCTGTCTTTTTGTTCTTCAAAGCTGAAACGTTTGGTGGTGAAACTGCGCAGCAAGGGAACCATATACAAGAAGAAACGCCAGGAAATCGCTGAGCTGAAAGCAGAATATGGAGTCCTGCAACGAACCGAGGAGATTCTCAAGCAGAGACATGAGACCGTCCAACAGAAACTGGTAACTCTTACTCTATGTTTACATTTAATGTAGGACAAGTTGACTTAGCAAACATTTACACTAAAACAATGGAAAGGGGGGGATCTATTTTTTTGCCTTTTTATTGAGGCTTTTAAAATCCTTCAGGGTGCTACAGTACAACCCACGAGCAAAAGTCTAGTGTAAGATACGATATCTTTATTTGTATTGCATCGTATAATGGAGTTTTATTTGTGGACTGTGCTGTTAAACTTACATATAACTATAGGATGAGTACTCACTAATTTCCCTCTTGGATTTTTCTTTTAATTAAGGGGATAATTTGTATCTTAAGAAATGGGATGTATGGGGTACTTATCCATAGTCAGTGTATTACACACAGTAGATGTCTGTTGGCACACCTCCAGTTTGGAGAAACGGGCTGAAATCTGACAGGGAAGCTAAGCAATGTACTGCTGTGGAGAGGGTGTATGTACGTATATAGTTTAAGTGAACACTATATTTTCTTTAATGTTACATATTCTAACTGGAACATTGAAATCCTCCTGACTGCCCTCCCCGTCCACTGTGCCCTTTAGCATTCACACTGTATTTCATCCACCCCTCACCCTGCACTCATGCTGCCATTCCAAATGTGCTGTTTTCACCTGATCTCCTCATTCACACAGTTTGTGTTAACAGCGAAGTGGTAGAAGCTTCCTGGAAATGGCTTCACGCCTCTGTGCGGTCCCAGCACCTGACTTGTTGATTGGCTGTCTGACGCAGGCTGAGCTGCTATTTCTGATGGCTGCATCTGCTGCTCCTCCTCTGTCTGCAGCCCACACAGGATTTGTTAAAGCAATGAAAGTTTTCCTTCTGATCACATGTCTAGTTGGCGATGGGTCTGCTCCTCTCTGTATGTGTGAGCCTGATTTTTCAGTCGGATAGTTCTTCATGCATTTCTGGTGTTTTTGTAATAGACAGAGGGTCAAATGACTGATGTGATGAGTGGGTAGCTCTGTTACTGCAACTGAAATGTGCTGTCACAGTGTCACCTGTTATGTAAGACATTAAAACATTTTTGTTTTGAACCAGTTTCCAAAGAGTTTTCTTGTCACAGCTTCAGCAGCTAACCATAGCTTCACATGGAGTAAAGCTGTATCTTGCGGTACGTTTAAAATAATTCTCTAAAAAGGACGCACTAAAATTGTGAGGTTGTTGATAGCACACTGATAGTTAAAATTGATATAGACAGTTGGTTGACTCTCTTAGACCAATTTTTTTGAAGTGTCTGTGATCATTTGATTTCACTGCTGAATTTGTCCATACACTTTTGAGTTACCTGCTACATATGTCTCTATTGTGTGTTGTTGTGTTTTTTAAGCAAATTGTGGAAGCGGAGAAGGGCATCTCTGGCTACAGTGACACTCAGGAGGAACTGGAGAGGGTGTCAGCCATCAAAAGCGAGCTGGATGAGAAGAAGGGCCGCACACTGGATGGCATGTCTGAAATGGTAACTACTCAAACAGATAATCCACCCTCAACTTTTTTTGTTATTGCTATAGGTTATGAAATAATTATGTTGTAATTTTTTTTTTTTTTTATTAAACCTAAAGAGCCAAGTCTGAAATATCTTGTGACTACATTTTAATGGTGCTGCCCTACAGACAAAATAAAGAGACTTAGTGGGCTGTGTTGTTCTAAAATTTGGTACAAACCAAGCGGCAACCTCTGGGGCTGAAAATAAAGCTAACATAGAGGTGCCAAAAACTGCAGTTCCTCTAATGGCCACTTGAGGCTGACTTCAAAAGCAAAGTCATTCACCATAGACCCCCATGTTAAAATGCCCAACTTCACAACAGAAATAAACATGTTTACAGCCTGGTACAAAAAACAGTTTGGGTCTCTATAGCTAATTTCCCGCTCCATGACAACTGTTCAGGGGTGAATTTTTATGTAACTCCCCTGTTTACATTTTATTAAGGCTTGAAGTTATTTACAATTAAGGGCATGACTGCTTTGAGTGACAGGCTGTCTGTGAGGTGTTGCCACAGCCTATGAGTCAGATAGACCCCTCGCTCCTCCGCAGCTCCACCCTCTTGTTCGAATATGGTCACTTCTGGCTCCAAAAAATAAGACTGCAGCGGGTAACATGCCGAACTTGAGGCTTCAGAACTGGAGTCCAGAAACCAATGGATGTCTTCATGGTAGCTACATCCATTATATTTACAGTCTGTGGTACAAACTGATAGAGAGGAGATTTCTGCACACTGCACAGATGTAAGTGTGTAGACATTTCTTCGACCAGTTTGTAAATTAGGTGTAAAAGCACAAATATTGTGCCATTCCATACAATACAGTACAATACAAGGTAAATGCTTAACATTATCCCAGCATAGTTCAAAGCTTCTACTTTATTTATCACCCTGTCATCCTTTTGTATGAAGGCCCAGAGGGAAGCAGTTGCAACTGATTAGGCCTTGCTCCAAGCTGCAGTTAGTTTGTTGATCAGTTTGGCAGATTGTACATTTGGCAAACTGCAGACCACTCCTAATGATGGAGTCAAACATCCCTGGCTCCAACATTTACTCTGGCACTGCCATAAAGCTGAAATCTATGATGTTTTAATGAATACTTGCCAAACTGTTAGTGAATATTGTCCTATAATCATTTCCATACTCTTATACTGAGAAGTGCTGATCAGGTTTGTCAGGTCTCAACTGCTAGGTTGATAAATCTGCCTAACTGTATCATCTCAGTAAATCATTAGTCACAGTCGCATTACCTGCTGTTTTCTCTATAGACTTTAAATTTATACAAACAAAGTTACAAATTTCAACATAAGATGCTTTTTCTTTCAATGTACTTTGTGATTATTGTAATATGTTGTTGTTTTTGCTCTATTTAATGCAGTGTGTTATTGGCTTGCTTTTACAGGTGAAGAAATTAAACTCTATGATAGGGGAGAAGAGGTCAGCTCTTGCACCCATTATAAAAGAACTGAGGTCACTGAGACAGCGGTGTCAGGTGAGCATCGCCCACATTTTAACAGGTTTACTTCGAAGGATCTGCACAGTATATGGATTAGAGTTTGTAAAAAACATTTTCCACATGATCACATTTAAATTAGGACCTTGGACAGCCATGACAAAACATTATGGTCCTCTTTCACACATAACTCACATTTGCGCATTTGCTCAGTCCCTCCTTATCCTTCTCGCTCTCTCTGTCTATTAGACCACAATTGAGACAAGAATTCCTTAGCTAGCCACCCTCTGGTCCCTTGGCCTCGCTCCCCGCCACTGTGGGTTGCTTGACTGGGACGAGAACAGGCAGCAGCACCAGAGACGGAATTTCAATCTGCAGCTGTAGCTGCTCAAATACATCTAGCACCAACCTAAGTGCAGGGTGTCACAGCAGGTTAGTGGCCAATGGCAACGTGTAACAGCAGCAACAGAAAGTTTGCTGATCCGTTGTAGAGTCACAGTGGTCTGGTCCCCCTGCACCGGCTGGATTTGGGTTGCTGCTGCTGCTGTTTGAGGTTCTGTCTTCGGAGCTGCTGTCCTCTCTCCTCCCAGCTAGGTTGTCTGTTGAGGCGAAGAGTGTGGCTTGGGACACACTGTGATTTGAGGCTCTAGCTAACGTTAGATACATGAGGCCACAGCTATGATCCATTGGCTCCAGTGTGCAGAAGGCTAAACTTTTAGGAACATTTTCTTCTGAAACATTTCACTGATACTGACACGTTTTATTGTGTTTATTGTCAGACTCTCTTTAGACCCTCTTTTTGATAAGTCCATCTTTCTTTTTGGGTTGCTTTGCAGTGTACGCAACTACACTTTCACTGAATGGATGTGCATGTGCATCTGCATTTTTTAAGAACAGCCAATAGAAACACACTCTAAAATGACCTCCAGTCATGGGCAAGAGGAGGTGCAGCAGTCCAGCCTTCTCTCCGTCTACCTGAATTACAGCACCTTGCAAAAGTATTCACCCCCCTTTGCTTTTTAACTATTTTGTTAGATTCCAACCTGTAATTTAAATGTTTTTTATCTGAAAATTTCATGTGATGGATCTTCACAAAGTTATCTAAGTTGGTGAAGTGTAATGAGAAAAGTATGTATAAAACAATAATTTAAAGAAATAAAAAAGTGAAAATTGGCATGTGCATATGTATTCACCCCCTTTGCTATGAAGCCCCTTAAAAAGCGCTGGTGCAATCTATTACCTTCACAAGTCACAGAATTAGTTAAATGAAGTCCACCTGTGTTCAATCTAAGTGTCACATGATGTGTCAGTATAAACACACCTTTTCTGAGAGGCCCCAATGGGCTGCAACTCCACTTAGCAAGAAGCATCACATCATGAAGACCAAGGAGCTCTCCAAACAAGTCAGGGACAAAGTTATAGAGAGATACAAGTCAGGACTGGGTTATAAAAAAATATCTACATCTTTGATGATCCCCTGGAGCACCATCAAATCCATAATCACCAAATGGAAACAACACGGGACCACAACAAACCTGCCAAGACAGGGCCGACCACCAAAACTCACAGACCGGGCAAAGAGGGCATTGATTAGAGAGGCAACAGAGAGACCAAAGGTAACCCTGAAGGAGCTGCAGAGTTCCACAGCAAACACTGGTGTGTCTGTCCATAGAACCACAATAAGCTGTACACTCCATAGAGCTGGGCTTTATGGAAGAGTGGCCAGAAAAAAGCCTTTACTTAGTGTTAAAAACAAGAAAGCACGTTTTGAGTTTGCCAAAAAGCATGTGGCCTACCCCCTAAATGTATGGCGGAAGGTGATCTGGTCAGATGAGATTAAAATTGAACTTTTTGGCCACAAAGGGAAATGCTATGTCTGGCGGCAACCCAACACATCCCATCACCCCAAGAACACCGTCCCCACAGTGAAACATGGTGGTGGCATCATCATGCTGTGGGGATGTTTTACAGCAGCAGGGACTGGGAAACTGGTCCGCATAGAGGGAAAGATGGATGGTGCTAAATACAGGGACATTCTGGAGCAAAACCTGTTTCAGTCTGCCTGTGATTTGCGACTGGGACGGAGGTTCACCTTCCAGCAGGACAATGACCCGAAGCATACTGCTAAAGCTACGCTTGAATGGTTTAAGGAGAAGAAGTTAAATGTGTTAGAATGGCCTAGTCAAAGCCCGGACCTCAATCCAATTGAAAATCTCTGGTTTGACTTGAAGACTGCCGTTCACAAGCGGAAACCATCCAATTTGGGGGAGCTGGAGAAGTTTTGCCATGAAGAATGGGCAAAAATCCCAGTTGCAAGATGTGGCAAGCTCATAGAGACTTATGAAAAGAGACTTGCAGCTGTAATTGCTGCAAAAGGTGGCTCTACAAAGTACTGACTTCAGGGGGGTGAATAATTATGCACACTGAAGTTCTTTGTTTTTGGGCCTTTTTGTTGTTTGCTTCACAATAAAAAAATTTTTTCACATCTTCAAAGTTGTTGGCATGTTCTGTACATGAAATGATGCAAATGCTCAAACAATACATTTTAATTCCAGGTTGTGAGGTTTTAAAACGTGAAAAATTCCTAGGGGGGTGAATACTTTTGCAAGTCGCTGTACAATTATATCAAAGGTTATTATGGGATGCCCAGTGATACAAGAATAAACTACCTACCCAAGCTTTAATCTGTCCTAAATTTTAAAACTTTACTGTGTGGCTGCAGGCCTGTAAGAGTTAACTTATATGAGGGTTGTGTGTTATCATGGACAGGGTCCATTAAGAATAATTTACATAGTCCATAAATAAAATGCACAATGGGAAAGCCCCCCCACATCGCTGAGCTAAAGCAGAGGATTACATTTTCCTACACGTGTTCCCAGAATCGCTCTTCCGTCTTACTGGGTAATGTCTGCTAATGAAGAGCTGCAACAGGAAGACATAAATAGACTTTGTAAGGGCCTGCTGTAAAGTTAAACTGCTCTAACGCCAGCTGTGATGCTTTGTTGATGTGAAACAGTGCTGAGAGTATGACAAGGGTTTAACTTTGTGCATTCTATGTATTTGTGTTAGTTCTCACAGAGCATGCAGTATGTGAAATCATTTGTCTCTTCGCTCCTGTGTGTGACTGTTTGGATTCCTGTCTTAACAGGAACTAAGCCAGGAATATGAGGAAAAGAAGGCACAATATGAAAGTTGCACTGCTGGTTTGGAGAGCAACAGGTCTAAATTGGAGCAGGTAGAGTCCTACACTTGATAAAATATAGCCAACAATTTAAATATATTGATATTTGTTTATCCTGTGTATTCTTTTATAATATCTTGTGACTTTGACATAACAATATAGAGTATTTTTCTGTACTTGTTTTTCATTTACAGGAGGTAAAAACATTGAGAGAGGAGACAGCACAGGATGAAAACCGATATCATTACATCAACTCCATGTCAGAGGCAAGTATTTTTAAAAGGTATTTGCTTAAAGGTCCAGGGTATAGGATTTAGTGTGTAGGATTTAGTGGCATCTAGTGGTGAGGTTACAGAACTGAAACTTGAAGCGTGCAGGAGAACCACAGTGGCTGACGCGAAAAATGCAAATGGCCCTATCTAGAGTCAGTGTATGATTTATGTGTTCATGGCTACTGTGGAAACATGGCAGACTCAGTGGAAGAGGAACGAGCCAGATGTTGATATAAATGGCTCAATCTAAGGTAACGAAAACACAACAGTTCTTATTTTCAGGTGATTATAAACTAATGAAAACATAGTTATGAATATTAGTAAACATTTCTGCCAATAGATGCCCCTAAATCCTACACATTGGGCCTTTAAAGCTGAAAAAAAAAAACAGTAGACACAGGGCATGTATCCCTCTTCATTATCACTGTTGTACAAGCCAGACATCATAATAATATTATGAATAAACTTTATTTATAAAGCACCTTTCAAAGCACAGTTACAGAGTGCTTTACGGTAACATCGAGCACATTTAAAACACAAGTAAGTGTAAATTGAACCAATTGTCACCAAGAGAAAATTAGATAAAATATATAAGTGAATGCTGAAAAACAAGAAGGGCAACATTTTAACAATAAACAAAAAATTATAAATCAAAAGCATGTCATTAAAATAAACGGGCAGCTCAGATAAAATTATGATATGCCTCTGATAAAAGTCTGTTTTTAGCAGAGCCTTAAAAGAAGACACTGACTCAGACAGCCTTATTGCCTCGGGCAGGTTGTCGACATAGTGAAATTACAATTGATTCTCCTAACTATAAACAGTGACTTGCTACTCCTAGGGGTGCTGCCGGAGTGGATGAAATGTCTCAGCATTTTGCAAGTGACCTGACTCCAAACACCCACTGTGGCAATAAACTCCACCTCTCCATCCCTGTCCTCCACAGATTATTGAGATGCAAATACAGCGGGCGACCGAAGAGATGAAGGCCTACGTGTCCTCTGATCCACAAGAGAGAAAGAAGGCCATCAGGTGAGCATGCCGAGCCAGGCCAGCCAGCTGCTCGCAAGATGAATGCTGTCTTTACCTCAGGAAGCTCTTATTACAACACAGTCAGTTTAGCTGCTGTCACATTATTGTCTCATACAACACAGATAGACTTAATTACCACACCTCGTGACGTGCTGATACGCAACACCTTTATTTAAAAACAGCGGGTGAGATCAACATGAAATTGCAGTGTCTTGTTTTTGAATGATATTCTTCTGCTTCTTTTGTAGGGAAGTTTATATGAAGAACATTTCAGAACAGGAGTTGCTTGGCAAGGTGAGAAAAGTGTGTCCAACAGCTGACCGAGCAGGTGCTATTATTCTGTCAAGAACATGATCTAAGGACAGACAAGTAAACACACTTGTAATGTAGATGGAGTTATAAAACACTGACCACGCTCTTATTGTACAGAAAAGTGCCATTGAAGTGTTTTTTTAATCTAATAATTCTTTTCCTTTGTGGATTCCAGAAGTTACGTGAGAAGCAGAAGATGGTGAGGGAGAGCCACAGTGCCAACATGGAGCAGATGACGATGTGGCGTGACCTGGAGCAGCTGATGGAGTGCAAGAGGCAGTGTTTCATAAGAGCTCAGAGCCAGGCATCTATCGGTCAGGTCATCCAGGAGGGAGGAGAGGATAGGCTGGTTCTGTGAGGTCACGTTTAGGCAGGGTCAACTGCAGGTCACCTACAGTATATTTACTACAGAGTTCAACTTCAAAGAATACTTCACCTGCAAAACGACCATTTGTACATCAATTACTCACTGCGTGGTAAATTGAATTTGTGAAGAAAACTTTGTCTCACATGCCTCCGCACAAGTCGTGCAGTATAATCAAAGTCTAACTTATCCAGTTGTATGCTCAGTACTTCTCAAACACATGCATTTTCACTAAAACATAATGATTTAAAGCAGGTTAGTACAAACAATCTAATGCACGGCCCAGTAGCATGCCTGGACATGTGCGCATTTGAACTCAGCTCAAGCAGAGCTCATACGTACACGTGTTCGTGATCCCTGTCTTATATTGTAACGTTTTAGCGAAAATGCATGTGTTTGAGAAGTACCGAGGATGCGATTGGATAAATAGACTTGGATTATACTGCACAAGTTGCATGAGAGTTTGTAAACAGATGTTTTAATATAGTTTTGCTGTTGTTAAACATGGTCCCCTGTGACTTTAATTTATGAAGAATGTTTACTGTTTTGGATTCTCTGTTCATCATGGAGACATGCAAGTAAGACAACGTTTCTTTCATTGGACATAAAAAGCATTGAGTAACTGATAAACAAATGGTCATTTTGTCAGTGAGGCATTCTTTATATTTTGTATCTTTCTATCTCTAACATGTCTACATCTTTTTACAATATAGTTGTTATATATTACTAGACACTACCCAACAAGGTTTGTGTCATTGTTTGGGGGGTTCATCTTTCCCAACACCTTGTCTGTTACACACTGCCAGTTGAGTTCCACTTGATAGTTTATCTTGTGTAAGAACCACACCACTCACAACTTTCTGATGACACGGTTTAAGATCCTTTGAGAATCCACAACCTAAAGAGCACATGTGTCTGGGGGTGTTGTGGGACTCCGATATTCCCTTTCTCTGGGCCCTGGAGACTCCCATTTTGCCATATCTTTAAGAATACGCTTTCAATCAAGGTGTCCAAAGATAACAGCATACAAAGTGGTGCACTCGGGATGTGGCCGCAGTCAACTATTTTTGGCATCGACTACCATGACCTTGGACAGGGTATCTTGCCAATTTTGGAATTCACAGGGACCTCCATGGCTTTGGACAGTGTGGATTAAATAGTCATATCACTCTCCTTGTTTTTATTTTATACCATTACATACACTATTTTTCTATAATAGATCCTTATTTCAAGATAACCTTTGATATTTAAGACATACACAGTTACATATTTTGGTTGTCTGTATTTCTATTAAATGTATTTTATATATTTATTTTGACTCATGTTTCATATAATAGTAATCTAATATGCAACTGTCTGTGAAATAATAACAGTTGCATCTTAATAAATTCCCATTCATGATAGATTTATTCACGTTTAAGTTTAATCAGGAGACAGACATGAGATATACAATGAATACCTATCTATAGAAATCAAGTGAAAGATTTGATGATGATTACGAACATTATGTTTGCATATTTAAACTGATGTAGTATGAAATATTATGTTGTCTTTATATCATGCCATATATAAAAAAAAACAGATGGAGTTTACAAACAGGAAGCCATTTACTCATGCCTTTAATAATTATTTACTCGTAAACGTAAACTACATGATGGACAGAACAATTTTTAGTTCATGTTCTGAAGTTCATTTACTTTTTTTAGCAAGTAACTTGGTACACATGTGGCACTCTGTGCGCATAGACTGTGGTTTGAGTGCCTCGTGTTGTTCCCAACAAATATCTTCATGGATGTTTCAGGATCCCACCCTCCCTCTCACAGAAACTTAATCTGCTTGTGGACAGCCTGTGTTAGAGGCTCTTGTGCCAAGCGGATCAAGTGTGCATTGTCAAAGGCAGCTAGATGTCCAACGGGGTTGTGCCATGTTATTATTGTTACAGCACCTTGTGCTTCTTGGTGCCCTATTAAGATGTGTTAACAGATGATGCACTGCAGTCCTGCAAAACATCTGACAATGATACCCCCAAAAGAACACAGTGGGGGACCGAGGTTGACCTAGTGCCCTGACACCTATGTAGCAAATTGGCTGACTTTACAGTTGTTACGCAGATGTAGTAAATTAGGTAAAGTCTGGTTTTATTGATTGTGCCTTGAGGTTTGTTTCAAAAAGTTCCTCCGTTTTTTGTCCTTAGCCACTGAAAATCCTTTGTTAAACAGTCTATGACATGTCTGAGACATGGATCTGAGGCCAGTCTTTTTGTTCTCTATTCTGAACATGAACTCATTCCTGCTAAAGGCAAACACGGGTCCCTAGGCAAGTGTAAATTAGGTAGTAATACAATAAGACAGAGAATCTGTAGTAGGATGCCTGTAGTCTGAAGGAATTAGTAAAGTAGTGTGTGAACGATAGCGCCCCCCCAAACCAAACAGCTCCTTACATTGTTACTTTTGTTGTCACGTCACTACTGACTTGAAATACAACATCACATTTATTTTCGCAATCAACGCACTGTGCATGCATGTTACAAAGCAGCAAGCTAGTTTGGAAGATGGTAATGCTGGAAATATTCCCATCATTTTGATTTTTGTCAGGAGGAAAGATGACAAGAACACTGTTGCTGCAGGTGGTAGAACTAAAACTCTTTCCACTGTAAAAAACATGCCCTTAATCCTCCCATCTAAAACACTTACTACGACTGACAGCACATCAGCTTGAAGCTCCAGAACATACCTCCAAAGTAGAGCCCTCCTCGGTGGCGGACCTCAGCTGTAGCCCCACAGTGGCTAAACAACCAAAACTGGATTTTACTAGTTGACAGCTACAGGCTACAAAGAACTAATGAAGCTTGTGGCTGGATATGTTGTGGATGAATTTGCTCCATGACTGACTCTCCGTCTTTCAGGCAGATCTTTGGGAAAATATTGTTCACGGGCAACAGAAGACATTACGTAAAAAAAGGAAATCTATCTAGCTATCTAGCCTTAGCTACGCTTACTGGCAATTACCCTGACATTCACACAGAGGCACATCTGAATTTTTGAGAGAGATGCAATTACCAATTTTATGTGATGAAATGGAAAAATAATATAACGAGTAGTGGAATGAATTACTGTTGACAGGGAGAAATTAGTATTATCATTACTTTTGAAAAGAGTAACTAGTAATGAGTAATAAATAACATTTTAAGAATACTGAACCCAACACTGCTGTCAGCCTCTAATTAATCTTGCTGGGGGGTCAGCGGTTGTATGGCCATGGCCCCCCCGGTCCCTCTTTGGGGGCGCCACTGTCTGAATTTCTACAAGCAGGTTATACTTAACTGAGAGAGTGCAGTGCTGTTTGAGCTTGCAAACCCAGCATGGCAAAAGTGTCAATATGTGAGAATGGTGTGGCTGCTTCCCCTGCAACTTCAATACTGCCCCACATGAGACATTAAAATGATGTTTTTGAGTAAGCATCCACACTACGTCTTATGTTGCTTTTGCTTAAGAAATATATGGGGTAGAAGCACAGATAACAGTAACACCACTGGGTATTTTCAGTCACCAGACCTCTACAGTGCAGTCAATGGCGGCCCACCTTAAAAAGCACTCAAATTAATGTAAATTCAGCCAAGCTTCCTGGTTTACATACAACGGAAACCACAAGGTTTGACTGTGAAATACGGATATGTATCCCAGTTTGTTGCTTCTTGTTCGTCTTCCTGTGTTTTTTCCCCCTGGTTTGAACGTAGCAGACACTGTTCGTCCAATGATATGACTCCACATGCAGCGCAGGGAAGAGGGGCAGCAGTGAGGCACTTTGATAAAACCAGACTGTCAGCACCGTGTGGAGCCACAGAGAGCTGCGCCACGGTGAGAAACGGCACGGCACGGCACGGTACGGTAGCACAGAGGACTGGACCGGGTGAATGCAGTCCTTAACACGGGACTCTGCTGCAGACACTTTTCCACCATTTTCGGAGATAAGAGGACGCTCAGAGTAATCTTCACTCAGACAGGGAAGAGAAATTTGGCTTGCAACAACATTTTTTTCTCCGTAATTCACGTGAAGAGAATCTTAACGGGGCAGGGGGACACCTTAGTCAGTGGCTAACGATAGCTATCCGAGTGTGAATGCACATCTCTCAGTTGGCAAACTCCTATTCATTTCAAAGTGTTGACAGCTTTAAAGAGCCCGAAGGTACCTTTCGGCAGTATTTTGTGTGAAGCTGAGCGGGAAGGAGCCGTCTGTCCAATATGGAGAACGCTCACACGAAGAGTGTGGAAGAAGTTTACAGTTATTTCTGCGTCAATGAAAGCACAGGACTTTCCCTGGACGAGGTGAAACGACAGAAGGAGAAATGGGGCCTAAACGGTACGACAATTTACACTGTAGACCACCACACATGCCGCTGCTGTGAATGAGACACGGTTTCAAAATGTCTTGTCATTGTAACATGGGTGGTGTGAGCACACTACTGTTCAGTATATGGGCTAAAAGTCAGCAACATCGTCGGCCGGTCGGTGTTACCCGGCTCCATAAAGTGATTTGGCTGACGTCATCACTGGTGACCTCGAGGGTTTCCCTTCTCTTACAAAGTCACAAATTAACCATTACTTGGTGGGCATTGTAACACTGTTAGGTAGTGGTAACATTACTGTGCATTGTATCAGTGTGTAACATTATTTCACAGCAGCACTGTTGACTTTGATAACATTATTACACATAACCTTACTGTGACATTGTTGAAAGTCGTTAAATATATGGTGACATTGTTAAGCACAGTAACCTTATTGGATGTTCCTCAGAGCTGCAGCACATCAGCCCATGTGCCCAGAGATCTGACAGGCATTTGAACGGTGGCCACAGGATCACTGTAGTAACGTTATCCTTAAATGTTGATCTCTCTTGTTCCAGGCTTTAACAGCTGTTTTATATTAATATCACCTGAGAGGTCACGAAGGGTAAACTACCCCCCCTTGAATCCCTTTGACCTTTACATTGATTGGAGCTTTCCTATTGTGCAATAAAGATGAAGGGAGTAGACTTACACTGTTAGAGGTGTAAACCTGATATGTGAGGGAAAGAATCTTGCAAGGAAAAAATAAATATTCTGAAGAGATTAGTTCTTGTAACGCTCAAACAGATCCATAAGTAAACTGTCATTAAAAGTTAGTATTCAAAGTATCCGCTCTTGTACAGTATGTTTAACTAAATCATCAAAATTTGAAGTGAAACAGGGAACATCCTGGAGGTTTCGAAATTAACTTGTCACTCTCATGGTAGGTAGCACCCGTCAGTCTCACAGAACATATTGAACTCTTGTCGTAGGACTCAGTTCCCCATCATGAAACAAGAACTGCATTTCTTCATCAGGCACTTTTTTGAAAAAGTATTTAAACACAACTTACCCTCTTCTTTTTCTTGTCTGTTTCCCATGCGGTCCCTGGAATATCTCCCACATCGCCACACACACAGAGTTACCAGCAGAGGAAGGTAAGCATTACTGTCACCCACATTGTTACTGTCATTTTTATGATAAGAAATTTCTGTGAAGGATTTGTGTTTTTAACCAACTCTCTTCTCTGCAGGGAAATCTTTGTGGGAGCTTGTCCTTGAACAGTTTGAAGATCTACTTGTTCGAATTCTTCTACTGGCAGCATGTATATCTTTTGTAAGTATTTCACCACATTTTCTTTCACTGTTTCATTAAAATGCAGTCTTATATAGGTTGCTGAATTGATGAGTTATTTTTTCCCTCCAACTTTCACTCCTGTGTCTTACTCTACAAGCTGTACAGTAAACGAAGGTGATAGTCTGAGAACTTGAGAGAATCTCCGGACAAGACACTGCATCCTACATATAGCTTCCTGTTTCCACCTCAGGCTAAAAGGGTGTTTATGTGAAGTCGAAATTGCATATGGGATTATTATTAGGCCCTGTGTGTTGAAGGGCAGCGGGTAATTTATGCAGTGCATGGCGCTGAAGTGTAAACGTCTTCAGTTTGTTTAACCCTGCTGGGGTTACACTCACATATCAGAGAGCTAAACAGCTGAGGAGGCTAGCGACCCATCTGAGGAATGGTGACAACAGCAGTAGCAGCATTGAGTTGCTATCACCACGTGCCAAGTAAGACATTTGAGTTGTCAAGCATGACTGCTGTGTAATGACTTACCCCGGTCTCCCTCGGGCCTCTGACTTTGAGTGCTAGACAGATAAATGTTTAATAGTGGACTGCCCTTATGTAATAGCATCATCAGCATGTGTCCGAGCCCTTTCTGAAGATAATTCAGATGAACATTTCCACATAGTGGTAGCACTTTTTATTGTGATGTCACATAAGAAGACAAGGCTTCATGTACAGCTTAGTTTATTGTCTTTACACAATTTGTCAATTGTAAATTTGACAGCACAAGTTTTTATGGAAAAATTACATTTTAACATTTGTTGAACAGACAACATAGTAGATGAACAGATGGCTGAAGAATATTTTGATAAGAGAGGGTCCCCCTGTGTGTGTGTGTGTGTGTGTGTGTGAGAGTGTGAGTGTGAGTTGGTATGTAGTGTGCACTGTCCAGTCAGGTGATACAGAGGTGTCAGTGGCTGCTGTCTGACAGGAGAACAGAGCACCACTCAAGACCAAATTTGGGCTCTCACCCCTCAGTGGGAGGGCTCCTATCAGCACACACCCACCCCAACAGTCCCACACTTTGAGACGAATCCGGTGTGATAGCATTAAAATCAGAAAGTTTAACTGTTTGATAATTGTTGAAGTTATTAGTCAAAAACTTAATCTCTAAACTAGTCCAAGTTTTCATTTGTTCTGTTTGCATGATTCATTTTTGTGTTAAGAGAACAGTTAAGGGTTGGTTTCCTTTTCCAAATGCATTATGATGTGAGCTGCTATAAATGTTTTTTATCTGTTGCATGTGAGCAACATTGACAATATTAGGGTTGAAACAAATACTTGATTAGGTGATCAACAAAAGAAAGTTCCCAGCTATTTTGTTAAAGTATTCATCGATTAGAAATGTGAATCGTTGTTCCATTTTCTCCACTGTGAGATGTGCTGCTTTTGTCTGTCTCGTTTTATTTAAATCTGTGGGTCATGGACTCTTGGTAAGGCAAAACAAGTCATTAACCATATTAATAATTTGTTTTCTGATAAGTATAAACGATTAATTGATTATTTGAAAAAAAAAAACATTGTCTGATAAATGAATAATGAAAATGATTGTTTGCTGCAGCTTTAGTATGTGCGCATATATGTATGCAGTATATGTATAGGTTGTTTTTGCTTTAGTTAAGGCTGGGTAATGTAAATCTCTTGGCTGTGTTATGACATGCAGTAGAGCACTATTAAGCTCCGTGCTTCTGTATTAAACTGCTATTAAGAGTCATGCTTGCCATTTGAGTTATGCCATTTAAAATGTCTTTGGCATCTGCCATAGCCAGATACTTAGGTCTTACTGAGGTTGATTGCTTTATTACATTATGGGACATTAACTAATTCCTTGTGACACACGGGGTAATTTTAGGGCAGTTTTTTAAGTAACAATGAGCTAAATGAGACTCCCGGTCAGAATACTGTAATATTTTCTCTGGCAGTAAGAGGTTCCAATATATGCTGCAGGTCCAACTGTGTTGATCTGAGTTTCTACAGTCTTCTTGATGGCTGACATATACACAGTTCAAATGGGCTGTGCAGTATTGGCAGTAAAAAACTGAAAAACAATTGGCCAGATTGAATAGAATAATTGCACTGCCAGTACTAGACTGCAGAATATCGAGGCTCTTTTAACTTGAGCATAGCAATGTAGTCAATAATACAAAGTGTTTAGGTGCAGATCCATGATTTCATATTTTTCTCTCTGGTACATGAAGTTTTATATAAGGAATGTGTGGGAGGATCCTCAGCTATTAACAATCTCTGGCTTTGATGTCAAGCTCCTGGCTATTGACAAATAGCTAACCCTCACACTGCTGTCACAGTGTCTTTTTAAGAGATAAAAACCTGTCCGGTTCATTTAAATGAATTATTTATGAGGTCTTCATCTATCAGAGAGATAATTTGTCATTGTTTTGTCATGACCAGCTTTGTTCTGTCTTGATTTTTATCCGTTACTGTCATCGCTGTAAGATAATATCTACTTATACCGTGAAATGTCTTAAATAATAATGACATGTTTCTCATACTGTTTACAGGTCCTAGCATGGTTTGAGGAGGGAGAAGAAACTATCACAGCCTTTGTGGAGCCTTTTGTAATTTTACTCATTCTTATAGCCAATGCCATCGTCGGTGTGTGGCAGGTGAGACACTTTCCTGGGAAGCCAGTTTGTTTAAATCACACTACATCTCCTATGTATCTGGGTAATAGGTCTACAAATTATTTAGATATCTTACCCTAGTTTTGTTTATAGCTGCACATTTTACCTGCGTTTCTAATTGGATCGACACCAAGCTTTGTTGATTTCACCAGTGCAAGGGATGAATTTAAGAATAACATCTTAAAATGATAAGTCAGCATTTAAACATGAAATACATTCCAATGCCTTTATCATCAATGAATTACCTTAAATTAGTATGGGACTGAAAGCTGTTGGTTGTCAGTGTCTAACTTACAACAGACTGTAGGAAAAAAAAGTCATATTAGAGGCTGTATCAACTTGGAAGGAGAGATGTTATTAGATCACTAAATCAAATGCAATCCAGCACCACAGCTGTCTAATAAATATCCTACCTGCATAAAGCCATCTATTAAATATCTTACTGACTGAATGAAATTTATCTGTCAGTAGGTGCTTTTACATGGACCGTAATATTCCACCAATAATCCGAATAATAGCCCAGTTAAAATAAAAATGCCTCATGTAACCACATCAATCAGAAGAGACTGACCTGGTATAGACGACGTAGCTGGTTGTGCACTATACATGACATGCCGCAACAGCTGTTTCTACAAGCCTCCGTCTGCTGATTTTGACAGAGAATCGTTCTTGAATTTGAAAAAACGTTTGGTGCTTTGCTAGTGCTACGTTTTTATTCGAGTGCTCTGATGAATTAATATATTCTATGACCTTGAAACATCAGCCTTATGTAACATTGTTACAGGCTGCAATGTGGAGTCCCTGGACATAACAATCTGTTGATACCAGGAGCAGTAACCTGCATATGAGACGCTGAGGAAACATCGGTAAATTGTACCATCTTCAGATTGCATACCTAGTCTGCATTAGGGATAGACCGATAGGGATTTTTTAGGGCCGATGCCGATACCGATTTTTTTCCATCACCCTTAGCCGATGACCGATTATGGACTGCCGATTTTTTTTGAGCCGATATTTGGGGCCGATACTGCTCTTGTTCCCTCAATTTACATAAAAAAAATGACACAATGATAACAAATATTACAGGTCTCAAGTTTAAAATAAGAAACATTTATTGAATAGTAAAAAATACTAAAACAAGATGGAAAGTTGAGGTAGAACAGGTAGAATATTATTATTATTATTATTATTATTATTATTATACATTCAAATAAAAAAAAGAGTTCAGTGCTCTTAAATCTTCCAGTAATGTCTTTATAAAATAAACAAATATTTAAGCTGAAGCATAAATAAAACAACAACTACTGTACACAGTAGGATTCAACAGCTTTGTTCAACTTAACCACATACTTTCAAATGAAAAAAAGTGCCAGGGAAAAATAAATCTGCGAACCCACGCGCGTATCGGCCGATGCCGATACAAGTAAAAAACTCAAATATTGGCCCGATATATCGGCCGGCCGATGTATCGGTCTATCCTTAGTCTGCATGTGAGGTGTTGAGGAGACCTCTGTAGTTTGTAGCTACAGAAAATAACCTAGGTTACACTTAGGTTTTTTACTACTAAATTGTATTAACAGGCAGAACCACTTCTTCTCGTTCCTATACTTTACATATTGAATGTAGAATTGCAGAGGTATACCAAGAAACTAGATACAGTGGTATGAAAATTGTACCGTGTACATTTGCTTGCTGCGGTATTGAAATTACAAAGCAACTGGATGGAGAATCTCACCTGCTTATGCGTTTGTTCAACCAAAATAACCCCTTTTCATAAACAATAATGGTGTAATTCCATGAAACTGTTGTATTTTCTGAGGTTGTTCTTGTTCTGTGATAATTGTTTATTGTTGCCTTAATTAAATGAATCAAATTTTTTCAATATGGTTGGAAAACAAACTTTTTTTTCTGTAACATTTCCAGCAGATGAGATGCTTCACAGCGGGCGGAACAACAAGACAAAAAAAAGTTGTTTTCTGATTAAAAGCTTTGGGGCATGTAAAGGCACATGTTATCAGATCACTTAATTTAGCGTCCATGTAAACAGGTCAGTTGGAATCTAATCAGAATAATTTCACTCGGACTGAAGAAATATTGTCCATGTAACTGCAGCTAGTGTGGCAGCCTGCTGTGATTTAACATTTGTTATACTTCACCCACACTGTAGATTGACACTGTGTACTGGAAGTTATTTTTGTCTCAAGAAGGCTTCCTATTGAAAAGGAACAGTCTATCAGTTGTCATCACCCATCTTCCTGTATATCGCTCACATATGAGCCAGGCTTATTTATTTATTTATTTAAACAATGTGTGGGCAGTCGGTTCTGAGTGATGTGTTCCTCTTGTTGATGAAGGATGATGTTGCTGGTGAATGGTAGAATTAGAAAACAGAGGCAGAAAATGATGCGATTTATATTCCCACTGTCATATGCTTAACATCTAAATGTCCCCAATCAAAACCTGATAAAATAAACATCAAACTTAGAACAGTCAGTGCCTCTTCAAAGGGGAATGCTCCGCATGTATTAAGTATGTGATATTCTCAAATAATCTCAGAGAAACTAAAAAATCTTTGGTACTGAATCTCTTTTCTCCTCACTAGGAACGCAATGCTGAGGATGCCATTGAGGCACTTAAGGAGTATGAGCCTGAGATGGGGAAAGTGTACCGGCAGGACAGGAAGACCGTGCAGAGGATCAAGGCCAGAGACATTGTGCCTGGTGACATCGTGGAGGTTGCTGGTAGGTTGACCTGCTCTCGACCTTGTGCTGTTTTAACCTTACTCTACTCTGTACTGTTGTATGTGTTGTTCAGAATAGAGCATCAGCTAACTGAAGTGTGAAAGTTTAAATGGTGGTTGGAATTGTAGGCTACTTGCGTGCAAAGGAAGCATCTGGATATCACATGAACCATGGAAAATTCACAGAAAATTGGCAATTTAACGCCACTGTAACTTCTACCAAGAATTTTTTGTGTTCCCTTTTCGATATGCTGCTTTTTTTTTAGATTAAACAGGAGATGTTGTGTTTTAATATGAATGTTCCTAGCTGCTGTTTGGCTCTGCCTCAGGTAAAGCCTACTGTGGACAGATCAAATGAGTCCACGTATGGTCATGGATCACATTTAGCACAAGCTTGAGTTGAAACCTCCCCCATCCCATGTGCCACTGCAGAGGTGACTCACCCTGCAAGAGTGATGTATTTTGAGATGCTCTTATTAACCCATTGTCTCAAAGGGCTGGGCACAAATGCTATCAAGGCCCACTTTACTCAGTGTGTGCGTGTCAGTCTGTCTTTGTGTGTGCATGTGTGTATTTGTCCACACACACCAAGATTGAGCTCAGTCATGTAACCGTGCTGCGACTGTATCCTCACAGCTCATCCCAACTCAACAGTCCCCCCCCCCCCCCCCCCCCCCCCCCCCCCCCCCCCCCCCCCCCCCCCCCCCCCCCCCCCCCCATGCAGTACGTGAACTAAATGCTGGGGTGATTCATGCTGCTGAGGTCCAGTCAGCGAATTTCAGCAGCTAAAATCCTCAGGATGTAAAGCTTTGATTTTCAGGAGTTCTGTTCCCCCCACAGCGCACACACACACACACACACACACACACACACACACACACACACACACACATATACACAGTTCTGCAGAGGGATGAACAGACGGATGTGTTGAGAAATGCTGAAGTCCTTAAAACACTAGCGTTATCGTGATACTGTGTTTAACCCTGAGCCACTGAAGTGATGCATAGTTTTTCTGTGCATAGTGGTAGGTTATATTTTTAGCCATCATAGACCATTTAGATTATGGAATGCTGTATTTATAGAGGCAGTGACAGTCGTGAAGATGACAGGTGTCTGGTCCCACCCCGTGGACGCCCCTCCCATCCTGCTCTGGGGAACATTGCTACAGTGGGTGACATGAGACAGTGTTCAGCGGGACTCCTGAGTAACCTTGACAAGGGCAAATGGAGAAGGGGTGTACTTGGAATTAAAATATATAATTTTTCTAGTGTTATCTAGTGTTACTGTATATAATTTGTTTTAGGATGATGGCGCTACTCATGCAGTTTTGATTATGTGTCGCAGCAGAAGCAGAGCGGAGAAAGCTTAATTATTTGGCTCAGGTTTAAAGAGAAAGTTGTGAGTCATATGCACTCTCCTCTTGCATATTAGAGACCCAGTTATTTAACCACTTTCGATGAAGGTAGCTGGAGGCTTTGTTGTCAGCAGCTTGAGGCTTACTCAGAAATGCAGCCCAGCAGGCAGCAAAACTGGATGTTTTATCCTGCAGTCAAAAGAAGCTCCACTTCCCAAATCCTCCGAATATCTTTTTAAATGGTTTCCGTCAGCCTTTTTTTCAGAATAATATTTTGCTGAAGCTCCGAACGTAAGAGTCCAAAGTGACCCCTGCCATGCAGAGGAGGAGTGCAATGACGCAGATGCCGGCTGGCTGGCTGCTGAGCCGAGGTAAAGGACACTGACACAAGCGCTCAGTGGCCGCCTCAGCCGTGAGAAGAATAGCCTGCAGCCAGCCGGTGCTGCTCTCTTGTCAGGGTGCTGCTGTGGGTTTGAATGCTGCCTCCTACTCATACCTCATCGCTCATAAGTTGCACACTCACTGAAATTTGTTTAATGTCATGGAAATAACATTGTGTGTAATGCCTTTCTTACACTTTATCTAAAATAGATTATTTTATGCTTGGTTTCATTTTTGTAGTTAAGTGAGTTTAAATCTAATCTAGAAGCAGTTGAAGCTCCGAGGGCTGCTGTCGGCTGTCTGTGCTGGTCCTCTCTGACATGGAGACCAGTGATTTTTTTTCTAAAATAGATTCTGAAATCATCCAAAGAACATGATCAGTACTGATTAACTAGGTTTTACTATAATATCGATTTGCACTCATTTTAAAATGGGCAAGTGCCAGCAGCCAAAATCTGATAAAAGGGATACCATGCCCCACTTAAAATAACCTTTTAAAAAATGGCGTCAACTGATAATGTGGAGTTCATTAGCTCCATTCAGTGGATTTAAAGGACCACTGTATAGGATTTAGTGGCATCTAGCGGTAAGGTCTGAATACCTCTTCCCTCACCTCTCCTTTTCCAAGTGTGTTTCAACTAAAGTAATATTTTTTACTGACGATTAATCTGTCAATAATTTTCTTGATTAACTGATTAGTTGTTTGGTCTGTAAAATGTCATTAAAAAGTGCTAAATATCAATCTGTGTTTTAGTGTTGTCACGATACCAAAATCTTTGTTTCAGTACCAATACCAATATGAATTTCGATACTTTTCGATACTCTTCGGTACTTTTCCTAAGGAAAAGTCCTTTTGGATACAAACCTTTAGAACAATAAATAGTAGGGGTGTAACGGTACCAAAAAAATCATGGTTCGGTAAGTACCTTGGTACGGACGTCACGGTTTGGTAACTCCAATGTTCCACCAAGTTTGTGTTGTCTTGTGTTGTCTCCCTTTGCGAGGCAGACTTTCTCTTGTCTTTTTTCACATGCGCCAGCTGCGGATGTTGTTACAGGTGTTGTCATACACACCACTTGTGCAATCTGTGCTCCAATAGGAACAAGAAAGGCGTTTGTGTGCATAAATGAGTAAAATAAATTAACTAAATTAATTAATTGAATCAATTTCAAAGTACCGGTATTTTCCAAATGCAGTATAGTACCGTTTGGAATACTCTAGTACCGCGGTACTATTTTAGTACCGGTATACCGTGCAACACTACTGTGTTTCCTCAAGCCCAAGATGACATCATCAAATGTCCTTTTGTCCACAACCCAAATATATTCAGTTTGCTGTCATACCTGAGAAATAAACCAGAAAATGTTCATACTTAAGAAGCTGCATTCAAAGAATTTCGACTTAAAAAAAAAAACTAAACTCAAAAATATTCTGTTTATCAATAATCAAATCAGTTGGTGATTTCTTTAATAGTTGACAACTTATCAATTGATTGCTGCAACTCTAGCATGCAGTACAGCCTTCAAGATGCAAAAAGCCTTTTCTATAGCCAGTGTTAGGTTTGTCTGTTCTGGGCCACTGTAGATACATGGCGGTGCAACATGGCGGACTCCTGCTCTCTATATGTAGATATGAAGGGCATTTTAAGCTGAGGAAAAACACAATGATTCTCAGTTTCAGGTGATATACACTAATGAAAACATTAATATTATATTCCATTTCTGCCAATAGAGCTTCCCAAATCCTACACACTGCTCCTTTAAGCCCTTGTCATAACACAGCACACATTGTATGCTGCCAGTTTACAGTTTAATGTTGAGGGCTTGCAGATTTGGATGTTGGCCTTTTCTCAGAGCAGCAGAGCTCAGTGGGTTTGTTCTCTGCTGGCTGTGAAGTTGTGGAGTCTGGTAGTGAGGGGGGCTCATGTGGGGGGCAGTATAGGGGGGGAGGATGTCTGATCTGCTCCTATTGTGGTTGAGCGGGATGACCTTATAGGGAAGCGCTTTGTGGATAACCATCCCTCCCTACCATGCTCAATGCATAGCGACCCTGCCCATCAGCACCCGCACCCGCCACTAAGATTCCAGACACCATGGATAGTATGTGGCATTTAATGTGGTCTGGCAAGCATCCATTGTCACGGAGGGACTGTTTTTTGGCAAAGGTTCCTGACTTGTCAGCGAGACTGAGAGAAACAGTCTCATCTTTGCCGACCAGGGAAGAGGGCTTTAGAAATGCAGAAACCTAATTTGTAGTGTAGACCTGCAGAAGGGCATAGAGGGTTTTATTCCAGCCAATCTGCAGGTTGAAGGCACTGATTGGTGAAATCAGCTTGGTTGTACAGAAGTATGCAAGATTCTGCATAAACTATACGTGTAAGCAATTGACCAAAAATTTGGTGTTACTGTTACATAAATCTCAGGTTCTATAAGTAGTATTAAAGCTGGCTTGTAGTTTTATACAGATTGTCAACTATTCAGCTCACTGCACTAGCCTTGTTAACCCTAAGTCACACTATACTGACTGCTGGGAATCCATGCTATGCTGTCTGGTTGTAGATGGGACAGTGAGAGGTCAGACTTTAACCCCAGTAAGGATTTAATGAGGGGCCATGACTGACAGTGTTAACCTGAAGACATGAACAGAATGTAAAGGTCTGACCTTCTGTTAACATATAAAATCTGTAGTTAAACTGATCGCTGTTTTCACATTAACATTTTAGTGTGTTATGTGGCTGCAAGAACAAGTTAGATGATTTATTTGATATTTACATTACATTACCACAAGTCTACTTACATTTTTCCAGAATGACTCTCTGCTTTCACAATATGTCTTTCTCTGTGACTACATCTGAAAGTTAAAAGTACAGAATTTAGATCCTTGTATTCTTATTAAGATCCAGATCCTTTGCAGCATATGCTGTATGTGTGGGCAGTGGTGAATACCCTTTTCAAATGTTAGTGTAGTGGTTGATCTTGATATAGATTTAAATTTTAGAATTGAAATTGTGTCATGGTTTTCATACATGTCATTTCTGCCAGGCCCTAATAAAACCCTGATTATTTTTGACAGGAGGGGAGCTCTAAAACGCTCCCAGTCCTGGGACAAGGTTTGTTACTATGACAACAGAAACAGTTGCATGCTATGTGGAAGCTCAGCCTGCTGCTGCTTAAGATTCATAACAGACAAAGGCAAAGCAGAAATCTCAGGGAGACAGTGCAGAGATAGTGCTTATGTAACGGAGGTCAGAGGTTAGGATCAACTCCAAAGTCGGCTGACACGTGTTTGAATCTGTGACAACATAACAGCAGGCTGCTAACTAAACATTATTTACTCTGCTCTTGTTTGCTGATGAAATAGTAAAACTCACTTGTGACTTTTGCCATGTGCTAACACTGTGGCCAGGGGACAAAAAAGTAAGATTTCTACCCTGAGTGGTTTGTACAGTGTCCACCTAAACATGGCCACCAAAATGCACCTGTAATACGGTAAATAGTGCAAGATAGCATCCACATGTAGGATATATTTGCAGAGACCAGATCATCTGTTTCATTTCCTTGCATTGGTTGTGCTGAGTCATATGAACTTAGTCTCTCTAGTGCACCTGCCTGCCAAAGTTTAGAGAGGAAAATCTTCATTGAGCAGAGGAGGAATGAAAGGTTAGTATTTTAGCCGTTCTAGACTGTTTTTTAACATATCCATTTGGATGAAGTATTTGCATAATTGTATGCATGTAAATTTGGCTTGTGAGTTCATCAGTAAGAGCTGTGCTGGAAAGCTGCAGGATGCCTCACTTGTTGACGGTCCTGACATGACCCACTCAACATGACAGGGGGTCAGCCTTTTGTTCAGCTGCCATCAGCACATGTGGCCTTTTGGCTGGCCCTGAGGAAGGCTGGCTTGCTGAACAACACGCTATCCCCTAACACACGGCAGAGGCAGGTGCCAGTCAAAGCAAACCGGTTTGGTTCAGTCACTGCCTTGCCTGCTGTTGAAGGGTCTGTTTAAAAGGCACCTCCGGGACTTACATTGGGTGCAATGAATCACTGGGTTTGAGCTTTTGTCACTGAAATTTGTGGACTCTATGACCTGTTGGCAAGCACAAAGGTGAAAATGTGGTCATGCCTGAGGAGATGGTTGGACTTCTACCAAGTAGGATGTTGACACAAAGGGACAGATGATATACGCACACTTCATCAGAGCAGGTCTGCAGTGTAACACAGCCTCGGGACAATTCCAGCGTGTCACAGTGTCACAGTCTCAACACTCACTGCTTTCTTCGTATGATGTATTATTACATTAGCAAGCACCATTGTTAGAAGCCTATCACCTTAGCCATGTTTCTCAGCACTCCCACGGAAGTTGTCAGTATTAGGAAGTAGTATAGGAAGTGTTACACAACCACCTAGGATGTCATTGTAAAGCTTTTGGCTTCTAATAAAAACATTTCATGTTTTGTTGTCTTCCAGGGATGAAATCATTTCTCCTAAGAAAGTTAAAAATGTAGCTATGAAATGGGTTCCTCTATTCAATGTGTAGTGACATTATTGATTCAAGTTAGGTGCTGTTGAACTGACAGTGTGACCCCTATATGCATTTGCACCACTGCTATATAAAAAAATCCCCCCTATACACGATTATATCGTTCACTGCTTTCAGCAGCCAGAATTTGGGAGAACAAGGATCATAAATTGAACATCCCCAGATAAAGGTGCTCCAAATGATCGGCCACAAATTATTATCTGTCAATATTTGTTCTAAACAAACTGTAGCTCACAATGAACTTCACAGTTACATTCATGTTTTAGCTACTGTTAACCTGATGTCTAGCTCACCTGCTTGTCCCGAGTGCAGGTACACCGTCTCTCTCTCCTCGCTCACCACACACACTCTGCACTAAACACTTCTGTAGAGGCTGCGATACACTCTGCTGTTTTCTGACAGTCTTACATTTGGATTTGTTTTGGGCTGTACTGTGCCCACAGGACTGACATGGCATCCCTATGTATACCAGTCGGTATACATAGGATCTCCAGGATTTGATTCATTTTATCTCTGCGACTGGAAAGGCAGAGTAGGTTAGGGGAGACCAGGGGATATGGTAACAATTTTTGGTTAGGCGTCATTACTCAAAAACCTCTGTTTGGATACATTTTTTAAGTAGGTAATTGATATCTGTGTTCAACTTTTTCAGTCATGAATTACTTTTACAAGAAACATTAGTCACAATATTGATTGAAAGCATTTTGTTAAACGTAATTTGACAATACGAGTCTGACCCCAAGTCTGCATTGCTCAACCTGTGAGGTTGTGTGACCTTCTCAGAAGTGAAGCTTCCATAGCGGCTGTCGTTCCAGGTCGGGATGGTTTAAAGATGTAACTTAGTCCTTCTCAGAAAAGCTGTCAATGTCTGTCTTGACTGGCCAATGCCTGCTGTCAGATCAGAGTTCCTGGCACTGCTGTCAGGACATCTAATAAGTTGAAGATCATCCAGCTTCAAGTCAACACTCATGGAGCGTGAGTTTCTCCGAGGTGATGTAGTGGGCCCTGTTGTTTGTCCCCTTGTCTTTCTTCCTTTGCTGTGGCAATGAAGAGGAAACAGCTGCCATTATATGACCAACATTTAAACCCGATCGGCGTATTGGAGTACATATCGAAATGCTTCTCCCATTTTTGGCTGCATGCTTTGTTGGTCCTATTGCTATTTTCTCCTCCCTTCCCTCAAGGGCATGGAGGGTTTTGGATTACAGTATCTGTCTCCCTCAAATGGGAATCTTGAGTCTGAGTTTTCATTTCAGCTTTGTCTTTATTTTTTGTTAGACTCTTAGGTACTTGGCAGGCTTGTGTGGGTTACTGGATTCTGACTATACAATGTTCTTGGTTGGAGTCTTTTGTAACAATGTGACACAATTTGGATTTTAACTAAGTAGGCCTATATGTAGACTATGTCCCACAGAACTGTGCCATAGCCTGAGCCATTTCCCCAGTTTTCATTGCCTTTATGTACCATTAGGAAGTTGAATTGGGTCACTGCAATTCCGATGTACCCAAATTGGCCTTTTCCTTTGAGACAGGCCTTTTATGGCTCACAGGTCCTTCATTTCCTCCTCTTTCTTTGGCTCTCCTTCTCTTTCCCTGCAGCGATGGCAACACTGCTCTGCTGCTGTGTGGCACAGCAACCTCCCTGTAATGAGCTGTGCTTCATCAGTTCAGTTTACACTAATGCTGAGTTACTGGCTGCAGAAAACAGACAACATCTCATCTGTTAAATCTTCATTTAGCACGTACACACACTTATAGCATTGTACAGGACCAGGTGTATATGGGTGGACTCGATGCTATTCATGTGGTGTAAAAGACTATTGAACCATTTTGTATGTCATGGCAAGTTAATTGTTTACTCTGGTTGTTGTCATTAACATGAGCTGTCAGATGCAGACTGAATTCAAAATCATATCAATGTTTTTTTTTTCCCCAAAAATTTTCACACGTGTGTGTTTCCTATGTGTCTGTGCTCTCCATGCTGTGGGGTATTTGTTTGTGTATTTTCTCTAATTGTGGATCTGTTCTCTTACAGTTGGAGACAAGGTGCCTGCTGACATCCGGATCTGTTCTATCAAATCAACAACTCTGAGGGTAGACCAGTCCATTCTGACCGGTAAGAAATGCCCGCTGATGACATCACAGCCATTAAATAATTTTCCCGTCCCACTTTCATCCATAAAATTCTCAGTTTCTCATGGGTCTTGTTAATGGATCTAGTTTGCATGTTTTATTGATTCGTTAAGTATTGATGTTTATTTTACACTGCTGGCACACTTCATACAGTGCATTGTTTTTGTTATCTTTGATTTTTTTTTTTCCTCTTATATGTTCCAGGCCATAAAGGCTATCAATATCAAGGCTATGCCATTCTGCATTTCACTGCACACATTTAAACCTTTAAATGTGTGCTTGTTATACTGTAATAAATAGAAAGTCACAGAGTTAAAGCTTAGCTCAGCAATCCCTGACTTACCGTAACTGATGAGTGAGGTTGCTCATTGTATTCATACAAAGCCTTAAATGTCACCACCGAGCCCTTTAAATACTGTATACTCTGCCGGTGAAATTGTTTTCACATATGGCCATTTCTGTCCCAAATTGAAAATGAAGCTTTGGCTGTACTGGCACAATTTAATCGGTTTTCATTTTATAGTTATGTTTTGGATTAAATCCATTCCTCAGTTTTAAATTAACTTCAAACTCTACAATGATGCTCCCTTTATTTTAAAATAAAAGCAAAAATGTATCCGACAAAACAGCGTCCAAGATAAATGGGTCAATCTTCCACCTGTGTTTTTAAGAACCAGAATAGCTGGATGTCAATGAACAAGATCATTTGAGCTGGCTGCAGAATGAGCCCAGAGGTGTATCATGACACTTTCTAATTAGCATGTTTGCTGCTAAATTGAAACATTCATGAGGATATGAAAGATCAGTGAGACAGCATGAATGATCAGTACCACAGATCTCTCTCTGTAGAGATAATTGGCTGTGCTTTGCTCCTAAGATCATCTTCAGAGGCAAATGCAAACTGGTATGAGCAGCTGCCCTCTGTTGTCTTTGTAGGTGAATCTGTCTCTGTCATCAAACACACCGACCCTGTGCCCGACCCCCGTGCTGTCAATCAGGACAAGAAGAACATGCTTTTCTCTGTAAGTTCAACTCTGCAGAAGTTATCACACATCCTGTTGATGCCTTTCGACTCCTTGTTTATTTTCTGTTAACTTCCTGGAAAAACTTGCTCCTGTTGTTATTTCAAGATGTGTGAGATGTTATCAGACGTGCTCGAGACAACACGTATACGATATTTCTTGTTATTTCAGGGTACCAACATTGCAGCTGGGAAGGCCGTGGGTGTGGTTGTGGCCTCTGGTGTTAACACAGAGATTGGTAAGATTCGTGACGAGATGGCGGCCACTGAGCAGGAGAAGACACCCCTGCAGCAGAAGCTGGATGAGTTTGGCGAGCAGTTGTCCAAGGTCATCTCCCTCATCTGTATCGCCGTGTGGATCATCAACATCGGCCACTTTAACGACCCCGTCCATGGAGGCTCCTGGATCCGCGGGGCCGTCTACTACTTCAAGATTGCTGTGGCGCTGGCTGTGGCTGCTATCCCTGAAGGTCTTCCTGCTGTCATCACCACCTGCCTGGCCCTGGGCACTCGCCGCATGGCGAAGAAGAACGCCATCGTCCGCAGCCTGCCATCCGTGGAGACCCTGGGCTGCACCTCTGTCATCTGCTCTGACAAGACAGGAACCTTGACCACCAACCAGATGTCTGTCTGCAGAGTGAGTCTCTCTCTCACACATACACACACACACACACACAAACACACACACACACACACATACACACACACACACACACACACACACACACACACACACACACCCTCTGTCTCTCTGTTGTGGTGCATTGCTGAGCAGTTTGGTTGTCTGTGCTTTGTCATCTTTGTTGTCCCTGCCTGGTGTTTTGAATAAGATGAAGCAGTAAGAGTAACTGTGACTGCATACGTCACTTTCAATACATTCTGTCAGCTTAAATGCTAATATTGTCTTTGCAAACAGAGAGTGGAGTCTTCCTTATGATCAGGTATCCAGCTTAATTAACAAGGCAAAATACTGCCGCTCCTCTAATCTACATTGAGCTGTTGGATGACTTGCAGTGCTGCTGTTGCATAACTGACCTTGCGTCACCAAGCAAAGCAAAGCAAAGCAGCCAGCCTGTAGTTCCTTTTTCTCTGTGTGTCTGTGAGTGGCACCCCAGCAGCACTTGGCCCCACATTAAGACATTTCAGCATTAATTAAAGTTTAATGCTCTTGATGCCTGTTCATTGTGCTCTCTCAGAACTTTGGCAAAGCCTGAATTGGATTTGTGGCATTAATTTATAGTTTTCATCAAACAGTTGTTTAGGCTTTTGTATTGTTTGGGCCACATGTTGTACTGGCCATGATTAAATAGCTTTGTTATTGTGCAATTACTGCAGTTTTCAATGATGTATTCCCAGAGCCATATATAAACTACTGAAAAGACAAAATATTTGCTCTCTTTACATGTAGACAAAAAGCCTTAAAAGAGCTTTGCTAATTGACTTTATGCTCATGTCTCATAACAAAAAAAATACTTTTCAAAGAATTTTGAAGTAAAAATGTAAGCATTTATTTTACAGATACATATACAGTGTGTGGCAGCGGCACAGTGATGTGGTGGTTAGCACTGTTGCATGTTCCCCCATGTCAGCGTTGGTTTTCCCTGAGTACTCCGGCTTCTTCCCACAGTCCAAAGACATGCAGGTTAATTGGTGACTCTAAATTGTCTGTAGGTGTGAATGTGAGTGTGAATGGTTGTCTGTCTCTATGTGTCAGCCCTGTGATAGTCTGGTGACCTGTCCAGGGTGTACCCAGCCTTTCGCCCAATGTCAGCTGGGATAGGCTCCAGCCCCCCCGCAACCCTCAAGAGGATAAGCGGTTACGAAAATGGATGGATGGATGGATGGATGGATTGATATACAGTGTGTGCAATATTTTTTTTAATATCATTACAACTTAAGTTAATGGCTAAAAGAAATGCAGGCAGTTGGACCATGACTGCCTGTCTCTTTGTCTTATACTTGCTTCTTGATAGGGACTTGATCGGGTAGGGAGGAGAAATTCAGTTAGAATGTAATGTTTTTGGGGGACAATCTGCATTGATGGAAACGTGACACCTGGGTGGACATGCTCATTTTCACCCCTTTTCCAGCGTGACCGTCTGTAACTTGTGATTCTTTTGTCATCTCAGCCACACATCCATTCATCTCTGTCCAAGAAGTATTCAAGCATTGTTCCAAATTAGTCAGCACCGAGTTTGAAACAGACTGAATAAGTAACCGATATCAAAAAGAAGTAACGACCATAACATTTTCACTGGCCTCCATGCTGCTTTCTGCTGTTTACTAACCCTGCTTTCAGGTGCATTTGTGACGTAGAACGTGACACACCAAAAAAAGATCCTCATCTACTGACATTGTTAAAGGAGTTTGCCGTGTAATTTTACAGGCTTTTCCTGCTTTGAAAAAAACTGCATACACGTGCTTAAGTTGATGGGAAACAGGTATTTGGTCAAAGTTAGGGTACATCTTCAGAAAATTGGTGTATGTCAGTGTTATGTCCTCTGTAATGATGGAAACACAATGCTGTGTGTGTGTGTGTGTGTGTGGGTGTGTGTGTGTGTGTGTGTGTGTGTGTGTGTGTGTGAGAGACAGAGAGAGAGACAGAGAGAGACAGAGAGAGAAAGAGGATGAAAGCGTCCTGTGGGAGCAGGCCTGGCACTGCGGCTTCTTCCTTTTGGGCACAGCCTCTCTCTTAACTCTCTCCCTGGCAGTCGTTTCTGTTTACTTATGAAGAGAAACTAAACAGCCTTTTCTCATATTAGGCAGTGGGCCACCCAGCCTGGCCCTCACAGTGACACGCTCTGTAACACTGCAGGCTCATCTACTGTCTAAATGAGCCCTTACTCTTCAGGTTTGCTTGGGATTTCTGTGATTTCTGCTGCCACCTGCTGTGTCAGTAAAGAAACTGACAGTCGTCTCAAACACTGACATGATGACGTGCTTTGAAAGACTCATATTTGTTTTTGTCCCACCTGCTCTCCTGTTCTCCAGATGTTCGTTATCAACAAAGCTGAAGGTGACAGCTGCTCTCTGTCAGAGTTCACCATCACTGGTTCTACCTACGCACCTGAGGGAGAAGTGTGAGTACTTCACAGCTGAGTCCATAACAGGCAAATCTAGGTGAAAGCTAATGCAGGGGGTATGTAGGTGAACGGGAGCATATGAAGTTAAAGATGGGAACTTAAACACATCAACAATAGAGACAGTTGTTGTTGTTAATATGAACTGTATACACACATTGACACACATACACACACAGGTTAATACTCTGTGCTTGCCCGCAGGTTCCATGATGGTAAACTAGTTAAATCCTCCCAGTATGATGCCCTGGTTGAACTGGCTACCATCTGTGCCCTGTGTAATGACTCCTCACTGGACTTTAACGAGGTGTGAACCCTGCCTGCGTCTTCGTTTACATGTCAGACATTTGTAGAGTGTAATATTGGCCAATATGATTTTTTTGTGTACAGTACAGGCCAAAAGTTTGGACACACCTTCTCATTCAATGCGTTTTCTTTATTTTCATGACTATTTACATTGTAGATTCTCACTGAAGGCATCAAAACTATGAATGAACACATGTGGAGTTATGTACTTAACAAAAAAAGGTGAAATAACTGAAAACATGTTTTATATTCTAGTTTCTTCAAAATAGCCACCCTTTGCTCTGATTACTGCTTTGCACACTCTTGGCATTCTCTCCATGAGCTTCAAGAGGTAGTCACCTGAAATGGTTTTCCAACAGTCTTGAAGGAGTTCCCAGAGGTGTTTAGCACTTGTTGGCCCCTTTGCCTTCACTCTGCGGTCCAGCTCACCCCAAACCATCTCGATTGGGTTCAGGTCCGGTGACTGTGGAGGCCAGGTCATCTGCCGCAGCACTCCATCACTCTCCTTCTTGGTCAAATAGCCCTTACAGAGCCTGGAAGTGTGTTTGGGGTCATTGTCCTGTTGAAAAATAAATGATCGTCCAACTAAACGCAAACCGGATGGGATGGCATGTCGCTGCAGGATGCTGTGGTAGCCATGCTGGTTCAGTGTGCCTTCAATTTTGAATAAATCCCCAACAGTGTCACCAGCAAAACACCCCCACACCATCACACCTCCTCCTCCATGCTTCACAGTGGGAACCAGGCATGTGGAATCCATCCGTTCACCTTTTCTGCGTCTCACAAAGACACGGCGGTTGGAACCAAAGATCTCAAATTTGGACTCATCAGACCAAAGCACAGATTTCCACTGGTCTAATGTCCATTCCTTGTGTTTCTTGGCCCAAACAAATCTCTTCTGCTTGTTACCTCTCCTTAGCAGTGGTTTCCTAGCAGCTATTTGACCATGAAGGCCTGATTTGCGCAGTCTCCTCTTAACAGTTGTTCTAGAGATGGGTCTGCTGCTAGAACTCTGTGTGGCATTCATCTGGTCTCTGATCTGAGCTGCTGTTAACTTGCGATTTCTGAGGCTGGTGACTCGGATGAACTTATCCTCAGAAGCAGAGGTGACTCTTGGTCTTCCTTTCCTGGGTCGGTCCTCATGTGTGCCAGTTTCGTTGTAGCGCTTGATGGTTTTTGCGACTCCACTTGGGGACACATTTAAAGTTTTTGCAATTTTCCGGACCGACTGACCTTCATTTCTTAAAGTAATGATGGCCACTCGTTTTTCTTTAGTTAGCTGATTGGTTCTTGCCATAATATGAATTTTAACAGTTGTCCAATAGGGCTGTCGGCTGTGTATTAACCTGACTTCTGCACAACACAACTGATGGTCCCAACCCCATTGATAAAGCAAGAAATTCCACTAATTAACCCTGATAAGGCACACCTGTGAAGTGGAAACCATTTCAGGTGACTACTTCTTGAAGCTCATCGAGAGAATGCCAAGAGTGTGCAAAGCAGTAATCAGAGCAAAGGGTGGCTATTTTGAAGACTAGAATATAAAACATGTTTTCAGTTATTTCACCTTTTTTTGTTAAGTACATAACTCCACATGTGTTCATTCATAGTTTTGATGCCTTCAGTGAGAATCTACAATGTAAATAGTCATGAAAATAAAGAAAACGCATTGAATGAGAAGGTGTGTCCAAACTTTTGGCCTGTACTGTATGTGCTTGTTTGTATTTTGTATTTTTTAAGGACTTATCAGTATGGACAATAACACTAACTCATGGCACTACAGTACAAAGTGTCTGTGTGATAGAAGAACACAAAGAAAACAATAGTAAAAATATAACATAAAATGAATACAAATAATGACAATTGTAGGTGAGTACATATACATACACATATGTTACCCATATATTAATGTATATAAGCCATATCTACATACCCATGTATGCATCCAAATGCACAAATATCATGTGCATTTGAGGTGCAAACAGGCAATAGTACCAGTTTGAACCCTAACACCTAACATTGTGAAACCAAATAAGCAAGAGAGAAGGGCATTTTGGGAAGCCTTTTGTAGTCTACTTTGTAAAGTATCATTATCAGATGTTCTGTCCCAATCATAACCAAAATCTGTCTGTTTGGTGTGCCGTTTCATTTGTTTCATCTGTGGTTTGGAGTGAAATAAGCTCTATGGGCAAACTCAAAATGTATCCACCAGTGTGCAAGTTTTTTTTTATGAGAAATAAATATTAACAATAAATGTTTTTGATATTTCAGGCGAAAGGTGTGTATGAGAAGGTCGGTGAGTCCACAGAGACCGCGCTGACCTGTCTGGTGGAGAAGATGAACGTCTTCGACACTGAGGTCCACAGCCTCTCCAAGATTGACAGAGCTAATGCCTGCAACTCAGTGAGTGACAGCAGCTCCCTCACCTGCACACGCTGCAGATTTCCACTGCTCCCACTCAGCAGGTTTTTCTCACTCTGTCTGTCATTTTGTCTGAGCAGGTGATCAAGCAGCTGATGAAGAAGGAGTTCACCCTGGAGTTCTCCAGAGACCGGAAGTCCATGTCTGTCTTCTGCACCCCCAACAAGTCTCGTTCTTCCATGGGCAAGATGTTTGTCAAGGTATACTGAGAGAAACTTGTACAGAGGAGCTGTCAGTGGCTTTGCTTTGGTTGCCTGACAGTTGCCTACTGTGTTGTGACTATTTCATTCCTTTGCTCTTGCCCACAGGGAGCCCCGGAGGGAGTTATTGATAGGTGCACTCATGTCAGAGTTGGCAACAGCAAAGTTCCCATCAGCAAAGGTATCAAAGAAAAGATCATGTCTGTGATCCGTGAGTACGGGACAGGTCGTGACACCCTTAGGTGCCTGGCTCTGGCCACACGAGACAGCCCACCAAAAATGGAGGACATGATACTGTCTGACACGGCCAAATTCTCAGAGTATGAGGTGAGTTGTTTTTTTCTAACTTCTGGTACAATTGTTTGTATGTTTTAATAAAAGTAGTGGTATTTGGTGTGTAGTGGGAGCGTTCTTTTCAGGAGCAAACATTCAGTCATGTATTTGTCTCTCTGTGTCCAGTCTGACCTGACCTTTGTCGGCTGTGTCGGCATGCTGGACCCTCCCAGACAGGAGGTGGCTGCCTCTATCAAGCTGTGCCGACAGGCTGGCATCCGCGTCATCATGATCACCGGAGACAACAAGGGCACAGCTGTGGCTATCTGCCACCGCATTGGCATCCTGACCGATGACGATGATGTGGAGCGCATGGCCTTCACTGGACGAGAGTTTGATGAACTCTCACCCTATGATCAGCGTGAGGCTGTGACTCATGCTCGCTGTTTCGCCCGTGTCGAGCCTTCCCACAAGTCCAAGATTGTTGAGTTCCTGCAAGGATTTGACGAGATCACTGCTATGGTATGAAGTGTGAAATCTGATTCTGCAGAGTCTCTTACTGATCATTAGTGTTTCACATTTAATGTGAAATAGTCTGGGATTACAAGCATTTGGTTTGGTTGTAATTTAGGTCTTAATTCCATTTCTGGCTAACATTGAAAAGATAGTAAACATGTTGCTCTTAAACTTGTGGGTATCCTGTCTTCGTTGGCCTTAGAAACATCACATGTATTGTGTTGATTTGCTTGTGCTAGAGCAAAGAAATTACCCCTCTGTAACAAAATACTTCTCCACAGACGGGTGATGGAGTGAACGATGCCCCTGCCTTGAAGAAGGCAGAGATTGGCATCGCCATGGGCTCTGGCACTGCCGTGGCCAAGTCAGCCTCTGAGATGGTCCTCGCCGACGACAACTTTTCTTCCATTGTGGCCGCAGTAGAAGAAGGCAGAGCTATTTACAACAACATGAAGCAGTTTATCAGATACCTTATCTCTTCCAATGTGGGGGAGGTTGTGTGGTGAGTCTCCTCAGGAGCAGATGACCCTTATTGTATTAATTGCTGCTCTTATCATTTAGGAGGATAGAATTATAATAGACATTATAATAGACTGATGGGACAATAGGTATCCAACATACTGTGATGCTGTTTAGACCTCCTCCAGCATGTTAGTGCAGTTGCTCACTGAGTTATTTCTCCTGATAGCATCTTCCTTACTGCGGCGCTGGGCTTCCCTGAGGCTCTGATCCCAGTCCAGCTGCTCTGGGTCAACTTGGTGACTGATGGCCTCCCTGCCACCGCCCTGGGCTTCAACCCACCAGACCTGGACATCATGGAGAAGCCTCCTCGTAATGCTAAGGAGCCCCTCATCTCCGGCTGGCTCTTCTTCAGATACCTGGCCATTGGATGTAAGTAAATAATGGACAAGAACGGAAGAACAAAGTCAGTTTTTCCCATAATATTAGGAAAAAAAATTAATTGGCCTCCATGCAGTTTGACACATAAGAAATTTATGTTTTATCACGTTTGGTGTCTTTGCACTAAGGCTATGTGGGTGCAGCCACGGTGGGAGCCGCTGCCTGGTGGTTTACTCTCTCTGACGAAGGACCTCAGGTCACTCTGTACCAGCTGGTAAGTATGCCTGTCTGAGTTATCGTCCTTTAGCTGCCCCCAGCTCTTTTCCTCCCCCTCACTCCCCTGCCTTCCTCCCTGCAGAGCCACTTCCTCCAGTGCGCCCCAGACCACCCAGACTTTGACGGCCTGGACTGCGAAGTGTTTGAGTCGCCCTACCCAATGACCATGGCCCTGTCTGTGCTCGTTACCATTGAAATGTGCAATGCTCTTAACAGGTAAGTAAGTGCCTCTCAGAAAGATCATCTAGGCATCATTTGGGCTCAGAGAAGGAAGGGCAAACTGTATAAATGAATTACCATCTGTGTTCTCTCTTCCATCCAGTCTGTCAGAGAACCAGTCTCTCCTGCGGATGCCTCCCTGGGAGAACATTTGGCTCCTGGGGGCCATCTGCCTCTCTATGTCCCTCCACTTTCTCATCCTCTATGTGGAACCTCTGCCTGTGAGTATTACAAATCCATTTAATTCAGTGATGACTTGATGGAGCTGTTGTTCGGATACTCAGTTATGAGCTAGCTGCTTGATGGTTACTTACAGCAGGACACAGGTTGAGTTGAGGGAGTTATGCGGTAGGGTTGTCACGATACTAAAATTTCAAACTCGATATAAATACTCAGGAAAATATTCAATACTCGATACCATTTTCGATACAGCAGCAAAAAATTAAGAGGCATGTCATTTTTTAAATAAAGATCAAAACAGTAACATTAATGATAACAACAAAAAATCCCCCCAAAATAAATAACAACCAGAAACAAGATCTGTCCATACAAATGTATTTATCTACAGCCCTGTTTATTTTCTGTGCTTCTGGTGAATTGGCACCATATTTTCGTTGCTGACCAAATAAAGTTGGTAGTTTAGGCTCAGGATGCTCCTGTTTCTACCTCACTATGTGATCAGAGAACCAGGGGTTACTGGAGAAACCAAACGTTTTTCAGCTTCAATCTGTGACTTTACAGTTAACATAACTTTTCAGACACACATAATTGTGTTGTCCTGTTAAACTAACATTGTCTATTAATGTTACAGACGGGCATGACTGATAAAGTCTTCTGCTTAGCTCCCACATTAACGTTAGAAGTTATATTTTAGTTTGATGCTGGCGACACCAGCTGTGTGGGGAGAGTGAGGGGAGAGGCTGTACCTGCCGTCTGCAGCGTGCTGTGTTCACTTCACTAATTATTTCCAAAGAGCGCTTTTTCCTTTATCATTTTTGACCAAAACTGGCTGCTCTGATCCTCCTGCAGCTGCGCTGGCCATATTACAGCAACAGAAATGTGTGCATGCATGCACAGCGACGACAACAAGCCAGGTTGCATTGAGGGCTCTGTGCCTGCCAGACGCTGCCTGCACAGCGCGTGTCCGTCGGACCCGTCGCGCGCACCTGACAGGCGCTGATGTGGCGTGCACTGTTAGTATCGATACTTTTGTAAATTAGTATTGTATCCGGATACAGCGTTTGAGTATCGATACTTTTGACAACACTATTATGCGGTCTTATCTGCCCCCTGGTGGTTGTCTGGCGTCATTACAGACGTGCAATAGAAACAGATGAGTTATCTTGAAAATAAAAAGAAAATACTTAGGTATTTTGCTTTTACTAGATAGGTCATAATAGGGACACAGTCAGGAAATGGAGAGACAGACAGAGAGAGAGAGAGAAAGAGAGACAAATGCCCCTGGGACAAACTGAACACATTGCAATCACAGTATATGGTACGGGTCTTACTGGAACAGAGAGAGTTAGATGAGAAGGTTGATACCACTCTCATAAGTGTCTGTTACGTACTAAGCTGTGGGAAACAGCTCTTCTGGCTTTGTCCAAATGTAAATAAAATCTACTTACTAGCACGTCTATATAGCTCACTAACTGTATGCTGGACTGTTTCTTGACTGGTATTGTGACTTCCTAATCCACCCTACTCTCCCTAGTACTCGTTGCTTTAGTTGGTTGGATTGGTTAGGTTAGGAGTAAGGCAGACCATTCCCTCACCATCCTAGGACTTTTCAGTCGAGGACCTCTTACAAGACAGAGTATATAATGGGGAACCCCTCATGTATGATCCTTTGAATAACTTGATAGCTTATGTGTTTACTCTTATATGGTCTTTGCTTTATGAAAGAACAACACAAGAGAATAGGTACTGATTTGTTACAATTGAACGCAGTTGATGTCTACTATATTATTCGTTGAACTATGAAGCCTTTTGTAAAGTCAATAAATATTTATCATGATAATGTGATAAATCTGACCCCTGGCAGAGTGCCACAGATCCCACTTCAAGAACCACTGAATTAGTGAACTTTAGAGTTTCATGTAGGAGGCTTTTTTCTAGCCTAGTGTAAATGCAGTTTGATTCTCTCAGCACCATCGCTGTCTCCTACTATGAATTCTTCTTCACATCTTTCTGTGACCTCATGATGTTCTCCATTAAGGCCAAGGAAAAGTGTTTAGGAATGGAAATATTTACTGACTATTCGACTACAGCCCCGGTCTCCACCCCTCATAGTCTTGGTCTTGTCTTAGTCTTGATACACTCTTGTCTTAGTTATGACTTGGTCTTAGTTTAGGTGGTCTCGACTCTTGACACTGAAGCTAACCATCTTCTGGTGTTCTTTTGGTTCTGCTGGCACCATGTGCAGTTGTAATCCTTTAAAAAGCAGCTGTAATGCTACTTGATGGATGTTGTCATGCTCTCTCTTAGGTCATCTTCCAGATCACCCCTCTGGATACGACCCAGTGGATGATGGTGCTGAAGATCTCCGTGCCCGTCATCCTGCTGGACGAGCTGCTAAAGTTTTTGGCGAGGAACTACTTGGAATTTGGTAAACAGCTGGAGAAGCCGGCCAGAAAGGGCTGCTCTCTGTCTGCATGTGCCGAGGGCATCTCCTGGCCCTTCGTGGCCATCTCCCTGCCCCTGGTGCTGTGGATCTACAGCACTGACACTAACGTGTCCGCCATGTTTTGGCCCTGACTGACTCCAGCACACTACCCTCCCTGTGCACCAGTGTGAAGTGGACATTAACACACACATCTAACACAGTTACATTAACTCGGAACAACTTACAGTCAACACTTGCACCTGCTCTGACGCTCTGTCTGCTGTCAGATCTTTTGTATTTAGGACATTTTCACCGATACATATTTTTGGGCGGGGGGTTGGGGCTTAGTCATATTTTACTGACTTTGACTGACATTATGTCCATGTGTTTTATTTTACCATCACGCGTTTCTCTCTTGATCCCCTGTGCTGAACGTATAGAGATGCCCACCGTGTCGGAGCTATGTGTTGAACTGTACAGAGAATTTACACTATTTTATGATAATTAATATTTTGTAATTTTTGGGAGGGGCTGTGGGGTCAAGAATGCTGGGTGTGAAGAGGATGATCTAAGGACCGTATAGTACAATACTAATTTTGGGGCAAAGACTTGAATGTATTTGCCCTAGCATGAATCTCTGTTGTCATTTTTTGAGCTCCATGCGTCGTCGTTCATTCTTTTCTGCATTAGGCAGAGCACAGCTACCTCAATGCTGTTAATATGATCATTACTACCCATTTGTCTTAACAGTCATTTCATAGATTAGCATTTGAAGTGTTGAGGTAAGCACCATTTTGTTTTGCAGTAGAGACAAAACCCTCACACATTTTTATGTTGTTTTTTTTTTTTTTTTTTAAATAA